ATGATGATGATGATGATGATGATGATGATGATGATGATGATGATGATGATGATGATGATGATGATGATGATGATGATGATGATGATGATGATGATGATGATGATGATGATGATGATGATGATGATGATGATGATGATGATGATGATGATGATAGGGGTGGTTCGGGAGAGCGATTAATGTTAGTTGACGCCCTGGGAGGGGGGGGGGAGACAGGTGAACGGAGAGATGACAGTTGGTACAGTTCGGGTGCTGCAGTCTGTCCGGAGATGTCCAACAAGTCTAATTGGCGGCAGCTGACGTTTGCGTGTCCCGCGTTTGACTTTGGCGGCGGTGATGCGGTTGGCTTCGAAGATAGCTGCGCCTGTTCTCACTGTTCTCCTCCACGTAGGTCGGTCTCGGGCGAGGTCTTCCCAGTTGGCCGGGTTGATGTGCAGGCGCTTCAGGGAGGTTTTTTAGAGTATCATTGTAGCGCTGGACTTTACCTCCTTGCCGGCGTGAACCCGTCGCGACATCTCCATAGAAGAATCGCTTGGGTAACCGTTCGTCGTCCATCCGCACGAGGTGGCCGCTCCAGCGTAGTTGTAGTTGTCCCAGCATGGTGTAGACGCTGAAGATTCCCGTCCATTCCAGTACATCAGTGTCGGGGATTCAGTCCTGCCACCTCAGCTTCAGAATGCAACGAAGACAACAAAGGTGGAAGTGCTTGAGTCGGCGTGCCTGCTTCGTGTGCACCATCCAAGTCTCTGCCCCGTACAGCAGCGTCGGGAGGATGACGGTCGTATACATCTTCAGCTTCATGCTGAGCTGGAGACCGTGACGATTCCAAACTGTGTTTTGAAGGCGGCCGAAGGCCTGACTGGCCTTCGAAATCCTGCAGGCGACTTCGTCGTCGATTTTCATGCTGCGGGAGAGCATACTGCCCAGGTACGGGAAGTTGTCCCCCACTTGCAGTTGGGTTCCGTTCACGCTGACCTGTGGCGCATTGTGGGGAGAGGCTGTGTTGGGTGGCGGTTAATGCCTGACCACCGTCTTCTGCGTGTTGATGACCAGACCGAAGTTCTTGCAGGTGGCGGAGAAAAGGTCCATGCTTCTTTGCATGTCCTCTTCCGAGATGGTATTGAGGGCGCGGTCGTCGGCGAAGAGAAGTTCGTGAACGGTGGTTGTGGATACGCGCGATTGGAAGTACATCCGCCGTTGATTGAGGTGCCCGTCCGTCTTGTAGGCGATGCGGATCCGGGGACGTTCGTCACGGTAAGCGTCCATCAGCATGGCAGAGAACATGAGACTGAAGAGGGTGGGCGCCAGGACGCATCCATGCTTCACTCCGTTGGTCACTGTGAATGCCTCTGAGACAGCTCCGTTGTACGTGACTCGCGCCATCATGCCGTCGTGGAGCTGACGCACCACCTGAGTGAATCGTTCGGGAAGGCCGAATTTCTGCGTGATTTTCCGCAGTCCTTCGCGATTCACTGTGTCGAAGGCTTTCGTCAGATCCACGAAGGTAGAGTACAGGTGGGTCCGCATCTCCTGGCACTTCTCCTGAAGTTGACGGGCGGCGAAGATCATGTCGGTGGTCCCACGATGACGGCGGAAGCCGCACTGGCTTTTCGACAAGAGACCTTGTTCAGTGTGGTTGTTAATGCGGTTGAGGAGGATGCGAACGAAGATCTTCCCACCGATGTTCAGCAGGGAAATGCCTCGGTTGTCGTCGCAGAGTTGGCGGTTCCCTCTCCGCTTGTAGAAGTGGACGATTGTGGCGTCGTTGGAAGCCTGTGGGACTTTTCTTTGGCGCCACATCACTTGGAAGAGCGCTGTCAGATGATCCATGAGTTGGCGGCCACCGTGTTTGTAGATCTCAGCAGGGATCGCGTCCGATCCGGACGCTTTCCCGCTAGAGAGCTGCCGCGCGGCCCTGATGATTTCGTGTAGAGAGGACGGGAGGTCGAGGCCGCGTTGGTCTCCACTTGAGGCAGACAGACGATGTCGGCGTCGGAGATGATGGAGGGATGGTTAAGGACGCCTCTAAAGTGCTCGGCCCATTGCTGGAGAGTTCGTTTCTTCTCCGTGAGTATGGTACTGCCGTCGGAGCTGAGAAGATGTGTAGTTGTTTTGGTTGCCGGTTCGTAGACATCTCTGATCGCGGCGAAGAAGTTCTTCTATTCGTTGCGATCAGCAAACCCTTGGAATTCCTCGGCTTTGCGAGCCGTCCATATGTTCTGCATCTCGCGCAGCCGCTGTTGCACAAGGCGGTGACTACGGTAGAAGGCTACTTTGTTGTCATCGTTTGGACGGTCGACGTAGGTTTTATGCAGGCGGTTCTCCTCGACGAACAGGTTGCTGATGACGGCGTCGTTGGCGGCGTGCGTGACCGAGGACTGTCAGGGCCGTCGACTGGATTATGTCCCGCAGTTGACATCATCGGTTCTCCACGGAAGCGTTTTCATCAGCGGCGGCAGCGACTGGAAGGTTGGCTAGCCGTTGAGCTAACTCGTTGCTGAGACGAAGATGGTGAGCAGGCAAAGACAACAAGTCAATATTCAACTTACCTCAGGGTCGCTTACCTTGGGGTCTCCTACGAGGTCGTAGACGAATCCGCATCTTGGAGATGACGAGACGATGGTCGGCTCACCCGTCGGCACCCGCAATCGCCTTTGTCAGCAGCACGTCCCGCTGTTCTCGCCTACGGACGAGGACAATGTCCAGCAGGTGCCAGTGTCATGACCGAGGGTGCATCCAGATGTCCTTCTCTCGCATCGGGAGGCGGAACTAGGTGTTGGTCAGGAGGAGCTGGTGTTCTGCGCATGTTCGTAGGAGGAGTAGTCCATTGTCATTGGAGCCCTCGAGACCATGACAGCATGGTCTGTGCCGACGCGGGCATTAAAGTCACTAAGGACAATCAGCTTATCCGCCTTCTCGGAGAGGCAGGCGGAGGCTCGTCAGGCTATCGTTGAGGCCCTGCGGCATACGGGGCAGTCCTACGATGCTGTTCCGGATGGCAAAGGCGACGCCCGCGTCCCGTCGCTCTACCCTGAGGCGGCCGCTCCAGAAGAAGGTATAGCCGGCATCAGCCTCCTGCAGTTGAACTTGTTCGGAGAACCGGCTCTCGCTGAGTGCAGCAATGGCCACCTTGTAGCGCGCCAGTTGCAGGGCCACTAGCGGCGTTCTCCGTTCCGGTCGGTTGCTTCTCGGATTGTCTAAAAGGGAACGAACATTCTAGGCCGCCAGGGTAAGCGGACTCACCCTAGCAGTCTGGCGAATGGAGCGGCGGGAAGGAGGAGGCGAAAGAGAGAGTGTTGTTTCGGTTTTGATTGTTTCGACCGCGAGTTTTACGTCTGCGATCACGGTCAGCTTGCAGACGGCGTGGTTCCCCAGCATTTGTTTAGAGCACCTTTTCTAGTCCATTCCCTCTCGCGGGGGTGAGCAGTTCTATCCCTAAATAGGGCTGCTCACTTGGTGCAGGCGGCTGCCGAACTCCACTATGGGCCACGACTTCTGTTTAGTGGAAGAACGACCCTAGCTAACCTGGGACTTCCTGTGACATCGCTGTAGTGCTTGTGGGGGGGGGAGTAGGAAGGATAACTGGTTGCTGGAATAAATTGGTAAGTAGTCAAATTAAAAAAACGGCAGTTTGCATACAGCGAAGACGAACGGAAACAAGCGGAAAAAGGCCAGACAAGCAAGAAAAAGCAGAAGCAAAGTCAGACAGAGGAATTTCAACGGAACGGCACTTAGCTTACAACAAGGGCGAACACAAACAAGCAGACAGAAAATAAGTAAACACGGACGAGCAAAGCAAACACTGCAGGGCTAACCTGAGGACTCACCTACATTGCGACGTCCTTCGGCGTTCCAGACGGAACATCATCTCGGAAATGCCGATGCGGTCATCCACCCGGTCAGCAGAGCCGAGATTACCGTGTGCGGAGATGCACACACGAATACCCAGGTTTAGCCCGCCGGTCGAGGCGGTTATCGGGGTGTGGCCGCTTGACAGAGCCTAACTACGACGGTCACGTGGGCCCACAGCTGGACACCCCACCACAACCGCTGCCGTGTTCCAATGTCGGCTGTCTGGCCGAACATATTCTTCCCCACTATGGCGGTGGCAGGAGTGCTGTCCATTTTTAGAAATTTAAACATGTTTCCCGCCTGTCGCCCACGTAGTTGGGCAACCAGTATATGAAACCCCGGTCAGCGATAGCAAGCGCACCTTGCGTGCGCTACCTCCGTTGCCAGATACCACCCGAGTCTGTTTGGCTATATGTGCATGCCAAATTGTGATCGGGGAAAGAACACAGCCCGAGTCTCTCTTGAACGGTTTCATTATACACACACACGTAAAAGTATTTAGATAATGCATGTGCCGTCCTGCCTAGCCCTGCCGCGCGATCTTTGGCGAAGTTCAGCCAACCGGAATGAGGGATCAGTAAGTGTGTGGCTCGCGCAGACGGATGTCTCCACATAAGATCAGTTACTACGTGCAGTGGGGAGTAAGGTCGCGACCCAGTTCTGATCCAGTGTCTACTTCCCTCACTGCAGACGAGCAAAATTGTCGCGAATCTAGTCAGGCGCGTTGAAAGTTGTGACTTGGAAGACTGGCAAGTTATGGACCTGTGAAATCCACCAGCCTGTCTGGAGGTTGTCTGAGTGCGTCGTTCAATCGTCTCCTCACTTTTGCTTGGATCCAGAATGAGATCCAATGTGGATTGCCGGTGCCCCCCCCCCGTTCTTCCTCGAAAGCGCTGACGCACATACTGACTCCCTGCCAGTCCCACTGTATACCATTGTCCTGCGATCGCCGACGACGCTACAGCCCCCACGGGTCATATTTCAGATACTCGGGAATCCTTCCATCCGGATGAATCTTCTTTAAACATGATGCCTGCTCGTGGTGTTATTGTTACCTGTCTTACAGTCGCCACCTAGTTAGCCACTGTTATCAGAACTTTTTCACTCACCTGATCTTCCTATTACATTTGTGCAGGTGCGCTTTTTAAGAATGTTTACTGGCTAACACGACGTGCTCCTCACTAGAATAAAGCCGAGGTGCTTGAACCTACCACAGAACACTTGAAGTCGTGGCTGCCAACCGGCTGGTTAGCCCGATACTTCTCGAGACTGAGGATGAGCAGTTATGTAGAGGCCCGGTTGATGTATTAATCGTTCATAGGAGATATTTTCCTTCTCTATTAAAGAAATATTCTTCCAGCGTTTTTAGTTATGTGGTCCGACTTGGCCTTTTCTTTTGCAGAACGCATCCGGCAGGCAAGACTGGCTTCTTGCAATCACAGGTGATCACGGGATGAGTGACCAGGGCAGTCATGGCGGAGCTAGTTTCTCCGAAACCACTACCACTCTCCTGCTGATTAGTCCCAAATTCGCCCGAGTCTCCACGAAGTCTGTAAGCGCATGCTTCTTCATTTGACTGCCGACAAAAATACTTCTGGAAATTGGACCTCGAAAGTTTGTCTTTTATGCATCTCTACTTGTCCTTACCGACATAAATCTTAGCTCATCAGGTCCTGCGTGTCATGTTCTGGAGGGCTCATTCGTCCACCGAGTCCATTTAAGACGACAGATCACTGTCATCTATTGAAAAGAGCCTTTTCTCAGATTCGCTACTTGATCATGCGTCCTCGGTGGAGTAGAAGCGGTTCTGGAGGATTCTTGTGAGAGTATCTGCGGCGGTATTTTTTCTCATTTCCCTTTCCTTGGGAAGAGAAGCGAAACAGCATTGCTGCAGTCTTGTGGACAGACTACCTGCTAGTGTGTGAAGTATGTTTTTTAGCTTCTCAGAACTACCATCAAAACGGTTGATGCAGACTTCAACTGGCTTTAAAGGTTGTTAATGTCGTTTTGCATCCTGGTCTCCGTTTTGTTCCATGAACACTGTTGATTAGGTATTTGGACCTCAGATGGAGTTCCCAGTTTAAAGCATAGTCCGTGAACTGAAGTAACAGTTTCCTCTGGAAGCACCGATTTTCACATGGAACTGACGCACACCGATGTATTCTGATTGCAGTTAGCTGGCGTTGATGTATCAGTGATAGGGAGAAATTGACCGCTTCATGCCTCACTATTTGGGAGGAGTGGAGAGGGGAGCGGTTTAATGTAATTTGAAGTCGTTGAGCAACACTTTGGTACTTTTGCCACTAAGTTTTAAGTTGAATTGGCGAGAACTAACGACTATATGATCAGTGATAGGATGTAATTTTGGGAAAAAGTCTCCAAGCTGGGCGACATCGTTGTGATAGACGTGCAGGACGATAGGATCTTGTTCCACGTGGACGACCTGGCATTCGTATACTGTTGGCAGCATCTGACCTGTGTTCAGACTTCAACTGGCTTTAAAGGTGGCGCATAGTCCATTAGGTTAAGATCGTTTTGCATTCCGTACTCTGTTTTGTTCCTTGAACATGGTTGGTTAGGGTTTTGGAGCTCAAGCTGATGCTCGCCGCCCGCCCGGACTATGTCTCTACGTTTGCGCTATCGGTCTCAACATTTTATGCTGCTCTGTTTTATGCCATGAACTTCAGTTATGGTGTCGCCTGACATCGTTGCCTCTGTGCATGCCTGCACTTACTTTATTTCTTATCTGTTCATCTTTATTTATGCAGGCGTGTGAAATCGATGGGGATATCTATAGCCAACATACCGACCAGACCGATTTGGCCACAGTAATCGGTCTTCTGACGGGTGTAGGCATCCCCTCGGGTAGCATTGGCGTGCCACCGGATCGTGCATTGTCCGCTTTTTGGCCGAAGGCGCCGGAACGTCTTAGAGCCCTCTACCAGTTGCAGCAGCATCTATACAGTCTGGTTACATTTGTGCTGGGAAAGTCGGGCCGTTCACACCTGTTTGTGCCAAATGAAGGTACCGTACTCCCCTTCCTTCCATTAACACTGTCAGTATTGTGATATATTCAACAAAATTATAATTGCGTCACACAGTGAGGCAACACCGCCCAACGGTTAGTTGTAGGAGTGTTTTTAAGTCGGCAGAGGTGGTCGGTAGACGATGGAAAGTAGGTAGTCAGTAGGAGGTGCGTAGATGAGGGAATATTGGGATGGCTGCCTCTGGCCTAGTTGCGTTCACCAGCACCCAGCAGCTTTTATTGTGCTTGCAGTTTCGGCTTGGTAGACCTTCGTCTTCCACTTCCGAATGCACGACTGTTTCACGCTCATTTGCACGCGGTGTTGACCACAGTTCTGTCTTTTCACCTGTGGCTTTAGGGGTAGATGGGAATGAGGAAAACGCCGTCCACATACGAAAAGAAGCATTGACTAGAACTGAAAATGCCCTAGCTCACATGCTGGCATTCACATATTCTTCCATGAATGATCTTGGAGTGATGTATAAATGTAAGCGTCGAGTGTAACCTAAATGCCTTCAAACCCTGTTATAAGGCGAGTCAACAGGATGAGATCGAAGGAGCTTAGAAGACGGAAACAGCAGGATATTGCGAGCTCGGCGTTAGAGTCTTCGGACTCTTATGTAAAGTTAAAAGGCGCATACATTTTCCGGTTCTTGGTACCACTTTCAAGGAAACATCGTGGAAATAAACTGAAACGATCGGATCGCTGGTGAAGCGGTTAGCTCTGTCTTTCATCAAAGCCTTTCTAGTCACGGCTCACCGGTCCAGTGTAGATGAATGCATTCAGCAACCTTCCTCTGGTTTGTGTGGTGTTGAGACCCTTGTTCGCCGTAGAAATTACTCATGCGAGTGAAGTGTCGCACCCGAGTTTCTCTTGCTCTCGCCCTCTTCATCTCTCGTCCTTCTTTGAACTCGACAGTTCAGACGAATTAAGCTTCTGTTGAGACAAACGAGTCACGTTTCATCTAATGGTTGCCGTGGTCCTTCTACGATAATTTCCTAATTCCGACTATGCTACTAACCTTTCACAGGTTAAATTTCCTCTTCAGTTTTTTTCAACTTCAAGTCACCAGAAAAAGACGTTTGATTATCTTTAAAGTTTTTAAGTGCATTTTTCAGAATTAGTGTATGCAGCTTTTGTGCTCAACGTGGTTATGTTTTCAAAGGGAATGTTGCCACTACGCAATCTGAATTCGCATAATTGCCTATTCTGCCGTCCCTCCTGTAGATAATTGACCTGGAAGACCTCATTGGCCTTATGCTGTTTAATCAGCTGAATCCATTTCACATTTTATACTACCGGTATCCCTTTTATAGGGGCCTAGTTGCCCCTATGTGAGCTAGTGTCGGCGATTGTATTTGCCACTCACTGTTATTGATTATGAGTGTGCATGACGCCCTTTTGCTTCTTCTTATCATTTAGTCACGGATCTACAGCAAGTAAAGAACGACATCACGAAACTTCTGCAACTCTGCCCGAGACCGTCTTCCAACTCGTCGAATGCATGCCGCCGCCTGGACTCCCAAACGGATAACATCTCCCGCAGACTCTTGTCACTCATGCATCGCTTCCAGAAGCGCATTCTTTTAAGCGCCGCAGAGTCCAATCTGCTGACCGTAGGAATTTCAATAATGTTCATGTGGGTGGTAAGTGACCAGTCCCCTCTGCGTCGTGTTGTTTTGTCTGCTTTTCCGACTACGCATATGTTTATTTTTGGTTGACTGCCACTTACATTCATTGGTGCAGCCAATGAAGCTCTGCCTGTTTAGACTACTTTTATGTGGCCGCGCACAGCTGTTCCTAAGTCTGTGCTACGAACTCCATTCCAACGTTTGCCGTCTTCTTTGTCCTATACTTGTTAGGGCGGGTTCGGTCCACCCAAACTGTGTTGACCTTGTGGAGGGCAGAGTAGAGTACCTATTGTGGAGAGTGATCTGGATGCAACCTGGGTTTGCATCGCGCAGTCCAGAGAAAAACTGCTGGTGCCTGCGCACAAACGCAGCAGCATTAGCAGTGGCCGGGTCCAGTTCAGTTTAATTCAGTTTATTAAGGGAAAGGTAGGCGAACGTCTTTCTACTCCTTATTGGTTACAATAACGTCACAAAAAAAGAAACAAAACGAGCCTGCTTAGTACGCCTAGAGGGCCAAGCGAAGGTGGTTGCATGCGACACCGCTCGAGCGACCATGGGCACTGTATGCCATGATTCACCCTTGGAGTGTTTGTAATGGCGTTTCACCAAGCGGGTCAAGCGGCGCTACTAGTCGTGACATCGACAGGTCTCGTCGCGCTTGACGGTAGAACTATGGGGCCACCCGTTTTGATGCGCTATGCAAGTTGGTTAACTGACTTCCTCTCTGGTACCCCGTAACACAGGAGGTAACTGAATGGACGGTTGCTTGAGTCACGTGCCCTGGCATTTAGTATCTAGTCGACTTTGATGATGATGATGATGATGATGATGATGATAATGACCTAGGGATAAAAGTTGTACTCTTTGCCTTCTCGCTTGTTTTTTTTGTAGCGAGCAACGTGTAAACCTGTTTGCCCGAGTAAACACTTCGTAGTGACATCGCTGTGACACTATGAGCGCTCGTAGCATAACCCATGCGTCCTTTCTCCAAATGCTCCCACATTGCCATGCCTTTTTACGGAGACTTCAGTATTTTGTGTAATGATATAGTTCCGTTACGAGTTTCGCCAGAAATCGGTGAGAAAGTACGCATTCGTGGGAAGCCTTCCGATAGCGACGGGGAAGAGGGATTTGCTGTCCCGGAGTTTTCCATCTCGTCGGGTCGTCGCTGCTCAGAGTTAAGGGTCTTGCAGCCACAAAGGTAGCCGCACGAGTGGGGGGTAAGACAGTGAAAGAAGAAATAGAATTGTAGATGTTGATTCATGAATTGATCAGCAGTTACGTCAATCTTTGCTCGTGTAGGAAGCCATACATGGCTAAGCAGAGGAGGCGGTTGCCACCAGAGTCAACTGAGGTATTAGCAGGATCATAGAGCACGTTCGATTTGCCAGATTCAATGATTAGACCTCATATCTGCTTGCTCACTTCATGGAAATGGTGAATGCCCGAATCAGTAGACCCCGTCTACAGGTGCTCAACTCTTCATCATGAATAGTATTAGACGCGATTGGACGATTCCCGATGGCCTTCTCTACCAATGGACTGATTAACTGAAGGTGCTAATGTTAAAGACCTGCAACCGGATCCAGTCCTCGCTAAGTGAACTAAGCCGCGCTGCTCACGGAAATCCTTCACACTACGCCTCTGGAGGCGGGATGAGTGTCAGCATGGGCCATACGCTAGGGCCATTTTGAATGAGCACGGGCATCTCCTCATACTTTCTTATCTTAACATGTTATGCCTCGTAGCGTGAATCGTGCAACATGCGTGGGCACTCTCAGCTATAAGTTCAAATGGATTTTATTTGGCTTCTAGATCGCCCTGAGCCTCTGCCTTCCTGCAATCATTGAAATATTTTGCAAAAAGGATATGGTCCGATTCGAGGTTAGTCTTTTTGATTTTCACTTTTATGCTTTCGTGTGTATCCCTATAGGAGTTTTTTTCTGCTACCTTTCACAGGGGTTTTCTTAGTGAAGTATACTGTATAGACACCGCAGGGGTGCAGGCATGTCCAGATGTGTGTCCACGTGAAGGTCGCTCACTTGTCTGCAGGTCTTGACTACGCCTAGCCTTCATTAACTAGTACGCAACTCTCACATGTGACTCTTCGAAGCCAGACTCTGCCTAGTGTGAACCAGGTGAGGATATCCGTGTGTATTTTCCCGCACACGGTTACTCAGCTCCTCCCCTTCTACCTTCTCCTCACCCCCCTCCTCCTTTTCTTCCCCTTCTTCCACCCACTTCCCCTTCCACCCCTTCTGCACTCCTCTTCACCCGCCCCCCTCCCTTTCGTCTTTGCCTACTCTTTACTCTACTCTCCTTTCCCACGACCGAAATGTCCCACGGTGAAGGCGGCGTGCAACCACGTGGGCGGCCCAGGCCAATCAGGTCGTTCTCCCATTAAACCAATTCGTGGCCCATAGTGCAGTTCGGCAGCTGTCTGGGACGACTAAGCAGCCCTATTTTGGGAGAGCACTGTTTGCCCCGCGAGGAGGAGGAGGAGGAGGCTGTAAAAGGCGTACTAGACAAATGCTGGTTTCACGACATCTGCGCATAGACCGTGGCTCGCAGACTGAAATACCTGTAGTCAAAACCAACAAACAAAAAACAGTACTCTCTCTCTCTCTTCCCCCCCCCCCTCGTCTCCGCCCCACCCCACAGGCTTCCAAAGGTGGGTCCGCCCACTCTGGCAGCCTGGAATGTTCGTCCCCTCTCAGGCAATCCGAGGAGCAGCCGACTAGAGCGGCGGACGGCGGTAGTTGCTCTGGAACTGGCGAGCTATAAGATGGCCATGGCTGCAATCAGCGAAACCCGTTTCTCCTCACCAGGCCAACTGGAGGGTGTGGGCGCTGGCTTCACCTTCTGGAGCGACCGTCCCAGGACAGAGCGAAGAGATGCGGGCGTCGCCTATGCCATCTTAGCCCAGTCCTCATCCTGCCGCCCAACGCAACCATAATCGGCAGCTCCACGACCATCACGGAAACTGGCTCTGACTCCGCCGACTTTTCCTGTCCACACTGTCTGCGTACATTCACCCCAAACATCGGCCTGGTCGGTCACTTGTAAATCCACCACACAGAGCCTGGCGAACCAGTGCCTGGAGTACCAACCCATGGTCGCCGCATCCGCCTCGACTGCCCTCACAGTCCTGTACATTTGGTCACCTCATGGGCCTATTAAGCCGCAGTCGCATTCATGAAAACCTGCGGTAGATAACCGCCGGCTACACCACACCTTTACAACTTTCCCCACCTGCATCTGCACCACACAACGCAAGGACTCGATTGCCACCTCCCACGCAAGTGAGAGGTGTGTTTCTCGGTCCCGTCTCCATGCGGCTCTTCTGTTGCATGTGTGATATAAGCCTGAGACTATCGCGGTGCGCCAAGCTGGGTGGCTTGGACGGTTGCCGACTGACGCTTCAACTCAGTCCACACAGTCAGCCCAGTTGTGTGTGTTAGTGTGGAGTGGCGGACTGGTGGACCGAGAATCAGGCTGTCACGGCTCCTTCGCAAACTGACCTCTAGCACTTTCACGCATGTAAGGAGTGTGTGTACTTTATGGGTGGTGCCTCTCAGTCGATGACTGTATGGTTATACAGGTGTTGGTCGAGGCTCAGTTCAAGGATGTGTGTCCGTCTCAGCCGTCGCCGGGAAGTGCTAAAGCAGAGGCGGCAGTGATCTTCCAAAATCAGAGAAGCATTTGAGTCAGCATGACAAATTGGTCAAGAGTCTTAAAAATCTACGAAATGCCCGCATCTCACGAGGTAGACGTCAAACCACGCCGACCACCGCATGATCTCCAGTCGACTTGGCTCAGGCTTGCCTCTGGGACATGAGGAAGGGAAGGCCTGTGCGTCCTCTGGTTCCATAATTATAAAGAGTTCGACGTGCTTTTAAATTGTGACCGGTTGTACCGATCCTTCTTCAGACAGAGTAAGACTGCAGTATCTTCTTATTGTGGCGTTTTACTCAGATAAGCTCCGAATAGGATGATGTCTGGTCGGCGTATGCGTGTTTGTGCCGGCAAATGTGTGACACACCAAGTTAGTCTCGCCAGTCTCCGCACAGGCAGTCGTTTTCAGTTGTCATCTTGCCAGCAGAAGAGTGTGTAAGGCGCGACAGCGAAATAGTTGTTGCAGTAAGCTCGGCTCCTGTGCGAGTCATCACCGCACCCCCGAGACTGGTGGTCTTTGTCGCTTTCGACGAAGGAACTAGGGTATCGTTATTTGTTTGTCCGATTTTCCTCGCTGCCGTTTGCGAGAACTCATGGCTTTGAATCGCAGCTCCAAAGCAGAACAGATTCGTTCACACTCTGTCATGCAATCAGGTGAAATGAGAGAACCCCACTGGCGTGTGACTTTGTTCTGACAACACGGGCGACGCTGTTCTGTCTGTTGAAGACGGTGCAGAGAAGGGCAAAAAGACAGGTGGCCAGACAATGATGCGGTTGTAGGGGAGTGTAGGCTCTACGGATGGGTTTGAATATCTATCGGGAAGCAACCTTGGCACATATTGACCTTTCTCTGAGCTGGTATCAGTCCCGCATAATCTATCTTGTCGTGGCCGGCCCACATGCTTGGTGCCTGATTAAACCCTACTTTGTTCCTCCACATCCCTCCGTCGGACCCGCGACAGACGGTGACCCCATTGCACAACTGGCTAAGCGCACCTCTTTGTGCTTGAATTTTCATTCACTTGTTGCTATTTCTATTTGATTACATCAGAGGGCTCGGGATCAGATCTATGCCTCAATGGTGAAGCTGCTAGCCGTCTTCACTCTCTCTGTTCTCGGACTGCATATGACGAGTCTATTTTCAAGCAGTATGGTCGAGGAGGAGCACCAGACGTGGTACTTCTTCGGTACGAGCGTCCTCTCCCTCGTCATTATTGTGATGACCGTTGCCGACCACTCGAGCGACAGATTGCGTGTTCGTGGCACACGTATCCTTTCGATTGCGGTCATCCTGGGAATTGATCGTTTCCTTCTGCGTTATCTCAACAAGACGGGTGACAAGTGGATTCACCTGCCTGATTTGACAGACTGGCTGTGAGTCCTTTCACTCCATTGTCCCTTCCTTTACGTATGACATCACCGTTAGTTGTATTAAACAATTGCTTTTTGTTTAGGTTGCCCATCATACACTAGCTGTGAGCCGGAAATTGCGTTACTGCGCTGCGTTATCACATTCCTGGCTCATTCAATCGACCATTTGACTTTGAGAGGTTTGCTGAGCTCAGCATCTCTTCACTGCTTTGAGCCTTATTGCTGCACACGCTTTTGATTACTCATGTCGATGTCGGTCAACCATTCGCCTGCGTTCACGAATGTGTGTGTGTTAATCTCCGTCTTCGGAAATTAGTCAACGGTTGCACGGGAAATGGCATATTTTAAACTTAAACTGCAGATCAGCATTTTTCGCGCATTGTTTCCAGAACCTCCGGCCCTTTTTGCTGGTTATGGTCTCTTACAGTAGTTTGAGATGTGGTCGCTGAAGCAAGAACTTTGTTTAACTGACGTCTCTAGCTGCATTCGATGTGATGCATGCTTGACCGCTTGCATGCAAATCGTTTATCTTCGCAGACTTGTCTCCAACTTTGATTTTCAGCGTGATAATTGCCCAGCCTGCCTTGTTTACTTTGCGAGGTAATTAATGCGCGAATCCTTCCAAACAGACCTTTTCAGGCTCGATCCGAAATTTGAAAGTATGATACTAGTTGTATACTACTGGCTGCCTGTTGGCAGCGTGAGTATTGCGCGGTTATTCAAGCTGGTGTATTTCAGCCCAAATATTCACATCAACCTTCGAACCTAACCTTAGAAGCTCTGCTCCGAGGGATTTACTCCAAGTTTGCGCATTAATTTCCTCTGAAATTAAACAATACAGGATGAAAACACGCGAGGGCGCTGGAAGACCCACTGATGAAATGAACCATTCACAGCCGCGTCAGGCAGCGGCATAGGGTCGGCGAACCACGCGTATCTGAGCTTTTAGATAGTAACTTTGATGTCCGTAGGGTCAATAATCATGTAATTACTTAATTATTTGTCCCGTCCTAACCAAGGCCCTAGTTCAGTGAGATTGTCATTCCCCTTCAACCACAGCTTTGATCTGTAGCAACAAGATGTTGTGCTATGAGAATCAGCAATCCTTCAGCCACCCCTTCAGTTGGCCCGCGAACGTAGATTCTCGTTCACACACAATCCCAATCACTCTGATGAAGATAGCAGTCCTCTAGTATGCTAGAGGAACTACCCCATGATCTGGCGCCTTAGGGTTGCCTCCGGTCGGTGTGCTATCCCAATTTCGTCTTCTCACACCCCTTGGAATTGGGATGGCACACAGACCGGAGGAAACCATAAGACGCCAGATCGTGAGGCCGAACGACCCATTGCTACGGCAAGAAACATCTGGAGTCGTTTGCCGTGTCTGGTGCAGCTGTGGGCAAAGCAACTATGTCTGAATAACCGGCAGACTACTGCGGACGCGTATGACCGAGCACGCAGCAGCGGTGAGGAGGGAAGACGCCAGCTCCCAAGTCGCGGCTCACTCTACGGGACTTAATCACACATTGAAGTTTGAATTAGCAGAAATTCTTGCTAGAGGTGACAACCGCGTGAGCCGCGAACTGCTCGAGTCATATTTTTCCGATCCTCAGTCAATCAACAAGCGCAATGACCTCCCCGCTCTATATTCAGCGCGGAGACATTGTCTAGGCAAAGTAATTAGCCTCGAGGACAGCCCGCGGATGACCACCATTCCTGGTGTCGATATCGGCGAGCCAAATTGCCCAAGAACCCACACTCGACTGCGTGCAATGAGCGTAGGAATCGATAATCTTGACCGGCACACAAGGGCATAACAACAACACGGCAACTGCATGCTTCAACACCTGGATAGGCGAGTCGTGATGCACTCGAGAGCTGTCAACTGCAGTAGGCATGTAGCGGCCTAGCAACTACGTCCTATAAATACTGCAATACCTGGGAAATTTGCAACCCTTATCTGACTCTGTCTTTGATGATGGATTCGAGTGAGAATCCGAAACGTCAGGTTAATAAAGCTCTTGTTCCAGCGACCGTGTCTCCTTCGAGACTACTTCCTGAAGCTCGCCTCTTCGCTTCTATTAGCGAAACGTACTCTTTGGCATAGCTGGTTTGAAATTATCCTCTATGTCAGTCCTTGTGGTATCCACCAATTTGGATAAAAACTGCCAATTAGATCCTTTCACACCCTTGCATTCAACAAGGATTTTTTCCTTATCCCCTAGTTCAACCTCTAGTCTGTCACTTGTCTGTTACGTCCTGTTGCCCTTTAGGAATGGACACCAAATGATTCTCTGGGTGTCTGAGGTCTTTGCTTGGCTGATCCTGGTCCTTTGTGTGCGTCTGGTTCTTTGCCATCCAGCGCCGCGGTTCCGGTCGTATCACATGCGTTCCGTCGGCAGCCTCCTTCTTGTCGCACTTAGCCAGTTGGCCTACCGGTATGCGAGTTCATTCCCCTCCGGTGGCAAGTCTCACCCGTTCGGGTAAGTCCTTTCGTGACTCTCCACCTCTTTTAGATGCTACTTTGTCTTTTTAGTCCTCCTCCTCCCCTCTTTCCCTCCTACTCCATTCCGCCCTCCTTCTTCCCTCTTTCTTCCTTCTCCCCTCATTCTCCCCTCCTCTTCCTTCTTCGCCCATTCTCTCTCCTATCTTTTTCCTTCTTCAACCCTCCCCATCATCATCCTCCACATCATCATCACGGTCATCATGCTAAAATTTATCTCGTCCATTCCCATTAACCCTTCTTTGTTCCATATGATGCTCATAAGTTTTCAGCGCAAATGACTTAACCGGTCTCCAGACTGTGTGTTTTTTTATAGCCTATACAGTCCATTGGGCTTTTTTCAGGTCGTAGCGTGTCCTTTCGCCTTTTGCATCATCCATCGTGGGCTCCGATGTTAGTCAGGATGTGAATCTTCCATCACCAACGTAACTCGAGTGTCTGCCAAATGGCTTGTACGAAAGGGCAGTCGAAGAGCATTTGCTGTTTTAAAATGTGTCGGACTTAACACTAATTTCTTGGAGCCGTAGTGGGTCTCGTCCAAAGAGAGCGTGTTGTGTTCGGAAAACTCCTCTGCTGGCTGGAGCATTTTAAGTTGATAGTCTAACAGCACCATGGAGTGATGGCACGCGTCACGGACAATGGTGCCGCCTCAGAATCATTCGCGGTGGAACAGGCCTGTATCTTCGCTCTAACCCTCTTTAATTTCATGGCGTCCGCCACACTGATGGACGTATATTGTGAAGGATGGCCAGGAATCCACATCGCTTCCCGAAATGACGGGCAGTTGCTCAAAACCCATTTCATTAAGACAACCACACGAGCCTCCACGACCAGTGTCCGTGGAATTTTGTTTGCGAATGATTGTGCGCTCATCATTTAGTCTGGGATCGTCGTAGAATCTTCACCAACGCGAAATTCCGGATGTAGACGGCTGCTTTAAAAGCTCGGCCAGACGCCTTGGAGACCACATAAATGGGGAAATCTAGAAAAAAACAGGAAACCCAGAACTAGAGTGGCACAAACCAACTCCACCAGCTTCAAACCTCTGTCCGAAGATCCCCATTTCCAATGTCCGTCTGGTATCTGCGTTAACCTTCGGATAAAATGCAGTTTTTTAATCCCACTCAACAGAACGTTGTCATTGCGGGAGGTCTCCCGCTTGTCCTTGCTCTAGCATCACATTTCATTTCCGGCTGGCCTCTTTTCGAGCGCCATTCCCGATGAGATTTGGGACACCGCCCGGACACAGAGAGCCACCACTATCCCTGTCGACGGAGCTTTCTTGTCTCTACATACCGGCTTGTCGGGCACCTGCTAATCCACTGCAGCACGACAGAAGGACGCCTGCCTGTGGCCTCAGCCAACACTCGTAACGCTTGCCTTCCTTGCCCACACTGTACCCGCACACGCAGTCATGGCCGGACCCAAACTGACCACTCTGCTCTGCTCTTGCCTCTAGTGTGTTCCCTTTCTGGTTGGTTTGTTTGTTGCTCCCTCTCCCCAACTGCATGTGCCCCCTCTCGATCCTTTTGCAGCTGGGCGTCAGCGGTGTGGCCGGCCCGCATAGCCTATGTATGCATCATTCTCGACCTGGTTACCTCTCTGCAGATGACTGCTGCACTGGTACGCTGGTCTAATGCCCTCTCCGCTGACGCCGACCACTCGCACGAGTCTCCGGTTCTCACATCAGGCGGTAACCCGTCCGTTAGTCCGGTGCACGCGTTTGGCCTGTTCGCCATGCTTCTAGGTCGTCCCTCGGCCACCCTCCTATGGGCTGGTGTTCTTTTGAAGGAGACACTACTAACGCGTGCTTTCCACAGCGAACTGGTGGCCTCCTCTCGCTGCTCAACTCATTCGCCGACAAAGATGAAGTACTTCATTGTCATGCTGTACTGGATCCAGGGTTGGACGACGTTCTTCCAGGCCGTAAGTTCCGAAAATGCTTTTCTTGTCCCATGACTACTCAAATATTAGAGCCCAGTTATTTGATGAAGCAATGAAGGTGGCAACAAGTCGACCGCTTGGAGCACCGACAAAGTAGCTTTGCTGGCTGTTGACCGCGCGTCTGTCTGGAAGTGCCGTCGCACTACCTTGGAGGAAACTCAGCACGTCTGATAGGCGAACGCCGGATAGATGTGTTGCTTCGCGATTCAACACGTAACTTCACAGTCACAAACCAGTGATGCTGTCATAATTTAATGTCCTGTCCGACAGGTTCCTGGGTGTTGCTCCCCGACTCGGCGTTTAAACTCACCGATGGCTCTCAGATATCGCAGTAATACTAATCTCTTTCAGGCTCTGGCTAAAGTTGACTTAGCCCTTTTGTTTTGCTTACTTACTTCTGCGGTGATGGCAGTTTGCTGACTGTGATGGGCCAGTGATACAGCCTCGAGGAAGACCGCCTAATCGTCTGTTTAGTGCATAGGCGAATCATCTTAAGCGGCTGCTTGTCGCGTTTCCAACCGATTGTGTACCTGTTTTTTGACAGAACTCCATGACTGAGACATTCGAAAAGGTGCCGCCTCAACATTAAATGACCCCTAGCCAATTACTCTTTTGGCCTTCGCTAACTTTCATACTTTGAGAAGAGTCTTGGTAGTTGTTGCGTCGTCGTCAACCAAAATGACCTCTGCCTTCTCCGATTGACAGGGCAATTCCAATAAATTCAATACGATCGACCTGGCTGCTGGCTACGTAGGACTCTCCGGCCACTCCAATATCTTCTTCCTTCTCCTCACGGTGTCTCACACGTTTGCCGGGCCGATATTCTGGCAGCTTTCTCTTTTCTATCGTTTCTTTGCAAGCCGATGTTGCCAAACCCGATGGTCGGAGCAGGAGGTGCATAATCGCCTCAAGGGCCGCTTCGGTTCCCTCAGCTTGGGCCTTCTTACGGCGACTACCACGGTATCGGCCACCGTCTGCCTCATCCTCCACAACCATCTCTTCATCTGGAGTGTCTTTGCGCCGAAGCTGTTTTACATGGCTGTGCTCAATATCGTCTTCATTCCCCTTCTAATTTTAGTCGATGTTTTTTGAGTGGGTTTTTGCCTTGAAAATGTACACTTTAACGCCTCAGCGCGTTTCTTTTGCCAGGTTTGTTCCTACTTTATTTTGTATGCCTGTTTCTTCCACTCACAAACGCCCACGGGTCTCCTTCATACGGTTCTTTTGTGGATATTTTGTTTTTTTTTATAATAATTAGGTAACGTTTTCGACTCCTGTTTTCCCGCTGTCGTCCGTTGCATCGCGCACGTATGTGTCAATGTTTCGCTAATGTGAACGGGACTTGTAAAATTCTATGGATATTTGAGCTGAACTCGATGGTCATGTCCAGCCTACGTTGTGTGTTCCCAGCTTCTGCTGTTATCTCCGAGCATAATCGCGTTCTGTTTCACACCAGTCCTAAAGAGGACACAAAGCTCTAAGCTGGTGTCCGGAAAAAAAAGAACAAGGCCACGTAGCAACCAGAATGACTGTTGTTTGGCTTGAAATTTCAGTCTCTTTCAAGCTCTGAATATTAGCCTGTGTAAAACTTGCCGTTTTCAATTTAACCAGTATTTAGTTAGGTGTTCGTGTGCGTAGGACATCTGTTAAGGTTTCTCCATGATACATGCGTCTTTGGTTTTAGTCAAAAGCGTAGTAGGGAACAGAGCTTGATGATCTTTCTTATATGCTGCAGAACTTGTAAACTTGCATCAATTGTCGCGCTTTTTATTTTTATGCTACCAGGTAATCCCCTTCACGATAAATACGGATGACTTTTTCAGATCTCGAGCTATTTGCCTTTTTGTTGACAAGTTTTGGCTGGGGCTGCGGATGACATTGAATCACCTTGCGGATAGTTTTGGGTCATACGCCTCCCCCCTAATCCATGCTTCTATTTAATCCCACCCATGCTATTTGGGTAGGCTTACTTTAACACCTTTCCCTTCGCCATTTTCACGTCACGCCTCCCTCAAATACAACCATTAGCGTTAACGCCCGGCTTACTATTAGTCGTTAGGGTAAGAGATTAAGGCCAGGATCAGGAAGTAGTCAAAATTAGAAATTAGGGATAAGGTCGGGCTTTAGAAGTAGAGCTGGGGATTAGGCTGCCGACGTTGTCAACTGCTGTTATACCTTCAGTTTCGGCCATCTTGGAGATCAGCTCTGGCGACACTTCACGCTTCCTCCCTTAGTGTGAATGACCGTGGGCTGTGGTCAGTTGGCCTAGAACGCTTGACAAATGCCCTCGGTTTTCGTCCTTTCACTTGTTTACAGTCAATTTCAGGTACTTCGGATTGTTCCCGCGTGTTTTTTGCGCCTGACTGGTGCATTCAAACAGGCTAGTCCCTCCCGGGATACGCATGGCCTTCGTTGCTATCTTGGCGCGGTGGGACGAAGGTTTGAGAACGGACATCATCCTCTCGCCTAGGTCCGTTAACTCGTTTACTATCTCGAGCTAATGACCTCCGATGAAATACTAGTGTCCAAATCGCACCATCATTCTGTAAATAGATCGCAGTCGGATTACCCGACATCTGTTGTAATTGAGTTTAGGGGCCCAATCCCCACACCACTGTTGCAGCCGATCCAAGTTATTTTGCAAGTTCATCCTCCGGCGTCTCCATGGAAATATATATCTTCAGGTGTCAGTGGACATTACTTTCTCACAGGTCAGGCCACCAAGGCAGTTGTTTACATATATCGAAAGAGAATAGGACCCAAAACGTTCCGTGTGGAACACCGCCGTGAAAGATTTCCCAGTCCGATTTGGCTTTGCCAATATAAACACATTGACGTCTAATTTCGTGATAGTCGGCCGACCACTCGAATAGTCTGTCAGTCACCCATTTGACGCAGATTAGATATTAGCTGTCAAAGGCTTCACCGAAATCAGAGTAATCTGCGTCTACCGACATATTCATTTCCGAAGATTTTGTCCAACTTACCATGGATGTCAACAAATTAGGCGGACGGGATCGACCGCCTTCAGATCCATGTTGATGCGCACTGCGGAAGTTAGCCCCCAGGAGTTCTCAACAAATTTTTTGTGAACCTCCTTTTTCCTGGGGCTCTTCGGTGCGGTTCTGTCTTCCCCTTCATACATGGGGCTTACATTGGCTAGATCCCAGTCAGTAAGCAAAACTACACCTCCATCAAACTTTCGAAGGTTTTGGAGAGCGGAAATGCCAGCTGCTCGGTACCTTTGTGGATATGCCATCCAGACCAGGCGATTTAGTCGGCTGTAGCTGTCTCAAAGTTTTCCTTGCTGCGTCTGCCGTGAGGGTCATCGTGCGATTTATCATTGCGTAAAGTGGTTACTTTTAGTAAGCATACGGTTACAACCACGAGGTTTGGGTAAACGACCTATATGTGCCTTCGCAGAACATGCGTCCGGTGCAGCAATGCGTTAATAGAATCTTTGTTATGTCATCCGATTTTGGCTTTCTGGCCGGCCAAGAATGACTGAGTCCGCTGCCTGGCATCGATCTTCAATATGGATTAGGCGAAGATGTCGCTGGCGAGACAGTGAATACTCCGGAGGCCAGGATTATTAAAATTGTGCAACTCAGTGTAGTCCTCTCGTCCCATCTCGTCTGATAACATATGTCAGGAGAAACCGCGCGACATGACACATAATTGTACCTGAGCTGACGAACAGATGAATTGTTTTTACCTGAGGACTAGCGCGTGCATTTTGTCAAATAATACCAGACTGATTCTGCATTTCGGCGTTGTGATGCACATACATGTAAGGATGAAAAGTGACATTCATGTGTGGCCGAAAAATACACTCAGATGCCTGATTAAACACGCCTTTGGGACAGCCGATGATTGCAAATTGTGGAAATTAGTCTGATATTCGGGGGATGCGCCACAATTACAGAATTACTTGGATCTTTTGCACCAATGGTGTGATGAGTTTTTCCTTAGCCTTAGCTTAAACAAATGCCCTGTTATTCGATTGCAGTCTAGCAACCAGAGAGTGGTTAGTTCTGAGTATCTGTATTTTACGGTCGTCACCGGCTCCAATCAGTCAACGAGTTAAGAGACCTCCACGTGTGGATGACATCCATTCTCAAACCATCACTTAACTGCGCTAAGTTACCGAGGACGGCCAAGCGTATCTTAGGAGTGATCAAGAGCTTCTTCCAGTGTTTTTACGAAGAGCTTTTCGGTCAGGTGTTTGGAACATTTGTTTGGACAATGATAGAATATTGCGTTCGAACGTGGAGTCCTTGAATAAGAAAGACAAAACATTTAGGGAAACGTTCAGCGAAGAGCAACCAAACTGGTACGCAAACTAACATGAGGATGTGACGATGGCCCTTAGGATCGTCAGAGGACTAGACCGTGTTCTTCCGTTCGGCAAATTTCCTGAACGGATATGGAGGTTCGCTTATGGAGGCCACCAACATAAATTGAATGCATACTATTTTAACCGCAAAGTGTGGCCCAAATTCCTCTCTCACAGGTTGGCTGAAGGATGAAACAAAATGCCGAACTCATTAGTCCTGTCGGAAAACGTCGAGACCTTTAAAAGAACACTTGAGAAACGTAGGCTTGATGATCGTACATTTTCTGCGAATATTACCATGTTACATTTCAATATATATAAGGGAGATAGGCATGGACTTTGAAAACCCTATTTACAGACACAGACTGAAAGGAAGGAATACGCTTAAGCAGATATACGGGGACATGTTATCATTTGTTATCAAGTAAATACATTTCCATCATATAAAATGCCATCAAGTGCTCGTTTACATGTCTTTACGCTTTCCGTTAGAACAACCGAATCAGGTAGTTTCTTCCAATTCTCAATCACCCGATGGGAGAAGTAAGTCGCCGCACTTCAAGCGTAGCGTACATCGTCTTCACTTTATATTAGTAACCTCGGAGATTTGTCGTTTGTGCCAGTTCAAAAAATCGGTCAATTCGATTGCACGATCTACTCTGACGAGTTTGAAGTCCATGATCACCTCCCCTCTGTATTGCCTATACTAGAGAGGGAAAAGTTTGAACTTTTCCAGCCGTTTTTCATAAGGTAAGCTCTTCAGCCCACCGACTATTTTAGTCGCACTTTGTTACACCTTCTCCAAGAGAGTGCTACCTTGCCTCACCCAGGGCATCATGCCTGAATGCCATATTCCAAAATCGGCCGGATAAAAGTTCCAAACATTCGACCGAAAAGCTCATCGTCGAAGTTAAGGGAGGATCTCGTGATCGCTTCCGGGTGCTCATAGCTTTCTTTGCTATCTTACCACCGTCTCACGGACTCTGAGGCATTACTGGACCTAGTCAACTTCAGTCCTGGCCTTGCCAGAGACCACTGTCCCTTGAGATGACAACTCAGGGTTTTGTATATAATAACCCCCTTATTCTGGTTACTCCTGTCTTTTCTTACAATTCAGGATTTGGTCTAATGATTTTGGTGCATTGAGCACACTTCCACCGATAAGTCACTACAGCGGTCTGTGTAGACGCATAAATGTCTGTCTCCAACACTGACACAAAAATGTTTGATGGAGACATAGTAAGCAAGGAGATCTTTAGCATAAGTGTTTTATCGAGTTTTCAGGGCTGCCGACTGGGCAGAAAAGAAGGTCAGGCGTTTTATGTCTGTTAGGAATTTTCACTGATGGACTGTAAATACGGCACCATTGGAAGGCTCGGCAACAAAAGAGAACGAGACCTTAGTCAGAGGATGAGATTGGACTGTTTTGCCCGTAAACGTCTCCTCGACACGTTAGAGACCGTCCACGAATATCTCACGAAAAGAAAACATGCGGCTGTTGCCGCGTAAGAGATTAATGTTGGGTCACATCAACCGAGCGCAGTGACAACATCTATTATACGGTGCACTTGTAGGAAACAAACAAGAGTTGGGTCACACAAATAGCTGCAACGTAGGCATAGATGTGGCCATAATTAAGAGCATATGTGCACTGTCCTACGAAAAAGGGTGAAAAATAACCCAAACCTCATTTGAGATATTGATGAAAACGCGACATTTTATGGACAGACGAAAAATGAGATGTGTGTGTTAGAGCGTTCCATAAACGCTGGAAATTGCAGTCGAAGACCATGGCATAAACAAGTATGGATGACCGTTTTAACGAATCATCAGTTGTTTGGACAGAGACACAAGGGCAGACTCAGGGCGCACAGTTCACTTTTTAAAGATAAGTAAATCTTTGACCTTACTTCGATATCCCTGGGCAAGCAATGCGTAGTTCGATTTAGTTCCTCTTAAAAGTTCTTTTTTACCACCGCATATAATTTCTTTCGGTCTTATTCAAGAGTATGGTTAATTAGCCACATATTGGAAAGCGTCTGTTTATTGACGCCGTGTCACATGTTCTCTTTCTTGTTACTATGATAAATTAGCGCAATATTTGTTGTCTTGTGCGTTTAGTTGTAAGTTAACAGCATTTTCATTCTTGTGCCGCGACGAAAAACTTGCCTAGTACCATGTAGTGCCCCGAAGAAGACTTGGAAAAAAGGAAGCTCGCAACCTTCTAGCCATCTCTGAGTGCTAGAAACGTGCCGAAGACAACGGGTGCCAGCGGCGTGTGTTCGCAGCCTTATCTAGATATGGTCCACATAGAACGTCTTGACCCTTTCATCGGTCAGGACCAGGCTTCTTCTAGTCGTTACAGAATATCATGTGACAAAACACTAGATCAGTTGGTATAGGGCGATATAAACAATATTTTCGAGAAAGTTATTAAGCAGGCGTTCAAAGTTATTGGGGTTATAAACTCCGAAACCGAGGAAAGGATAAGACGCTAACATAATTTTATGCTGCATAACGTTCCAAATCACGTCTGCTATTGAGAGTGTGCAATTGTTTTTGCAAAGTCGCGGCTTGGACTTTAGTGTCACGCAAGCTAAACGACTACGTTCGTTCAGCCATAATGCACCGATACTATTTACTCTCTTCTCCTTGGTAGAAGTTGACCTCGTCTCGTTCAAAACGGGGAGCACTAGAGAATTCTGCCATAAATGGTGTTGCTCAGTTTCTCCGTATGTCCCGCAAATTCACAGAAGACTGAACAATTTAAAAATGTCAAAAACCAACATCAACATAATGGCCCATGCTGGCACGTAGAATAAGTCCTCTTCGACATCATCTTCTGTCTCACCACGTCATGACATAGTCTATTCCTTAGGCAAGTCGACCATTCGTGATGTTGAGATCTTTAAACGCAACAATACGCCTTCTGTACAAATACCTTTACCGACTCCACCGGCAACCCCTAGTAGACCGAAGCAAGTGCCTAACTCAAAGACTGGTCCGAGTACAATTTCAGCCACTCATGCACTAGGTGTATTCAGTTTCTCTAAGAAATCTTCCCTCCACGGTCGCCTGCCACTCCCTCAAGCTCCACGCACCTAAATATATTGTGTTTCCAATTACTCTCAGACCTCATATCGAAAAGGTTAAGCCGAATATGTTGACATTCCCGTTTTTGAATAGAATTTCCGCTCTAATCGACGCAATGTGTCCCCCACCCCTCAATCATGTCCCCTCCACCGCCCTTTTATCAATGTGGTCCAATTGCAAATAACCATGCTGGGTCACTTAACTCACCTGATCCTCAGTTTTACGTCACGAGAACTTGATAGTGAATTTCCAGTAGAAAATCAGCCAGTCAACGATAGTTATCAGCTTCCCTACCCGTCGTTTGCTCTCCCAAATTCTACTCCTGTTCATCCACATTAGTGTCTTTTAGTGACGCAAATTTTTTTACAGAGGTAGACAGGTGAGTTCTAACCATATGCCCCGTGGGCGACAAACCTCCGGGCGACGTAGCTTACCTCCCTCATAAAAACAGTCTTTCTCTTCAAACCTTTCGTTCTAAATGCCAGATCCTTGTTAAGTAAGGCGTCTTTGCTTCCGATTCTGGTAATCGTTCATTGCACAGATATTGTTTTAGCAACTGAAACATAGGCACCAGCTTCCGTTTCTAGCTCCGAACTATCTCTCCTAGACTATACTTGCATTCGAAATGATCGTCAATACAGTCGTGGTGGGAGAAATTGCATCTACGTTGAGCAAGCACCTGCATTTCTGTTGCTGGATTTTCCTCATTTTTCCACGGTAGAAGGCCGCTACTGGCACCAAGTTGCTTCAGAAAATAAATGCACTTTACTCGCTGACTGTTTCTATCGCTTTCCCAACGCCAATGAAGTTTCTTTTATTATAATAATTATTTTTTATTCAAGACCCACAGGTGTCCTATCATAGCAAATCAGAATAACGTTTACATTAATTTTAAAATTTTTGACGAGGTATACAGTATTTACACAATACTTAATTCATAGTTATTGAAAAAGTAGTATGTTACGATGAGTGTTGAGCGAACAGTGAAAAAAACTTCTAACATAAAATGAGTATGATTGGATAAGGTCGTTGTATTTTCACAGGCATTTCGTGTTGCAGATGGCTTTAATCTTCTTGAAGTCCACTGACCTTAGCTTTCCAACACCAAAAATTTCGAAGACTTTCTCGAGGCTGTAGATGTTGGGATGTGGAGTCAGGCTGTCGATTTTTCCAACCGAGGACCAAGCATACTTGATTTAAATTTCTGCAGAGATTACATGCCCTTGTCAGTGTCAACCCTAAGCCAACTCGGGAGCTCAGTCCACAGCGTAATTATTTCTACGTTAGAATTTGACGCTGACAAGATTTTGTCCCCAAAATATAGCTTCTTCGATTTCCGATCAGCCCGCCTGGCTAAATCAACATCATGCTTTTATTCGTGTGGCTGGTCTGACTTCTTCCTAAGTTTGGATGCAAATATTTACACTGCCAAACTGTACGAAGTTCCGGAGCGGCTTATTTCTCGTTTTTTCCTCGTAAGAAAATAATTAATGTCGGGTATGAGGTTTCCCTCCCCCTACCTTTTCGTCGTCGGTTGCACAGGCTTATTCATCAGTTCCATCTCCAGAATGACATTTCCGTTCTGCTCTCGGGCTGTAATATTTTTGAGCGAGCTAAGAGACCGTGTGAAGAAAAGCAGGTAGCCGAAGTGGTCCAATTCACCGAAAACCTTTCGTCAAACGTCGCGAAACGTTTTCTTGAAAACTAAAAGCTCATGTAAAAACGAGGCATCCCATCCTCCGAGAGGCTCTTGGATAATCTATAACAGGCGCCCAGTTGACCGCTGATCATTTCAATGATTTCTTGTCCGAAACTTTAAAAGCTCAACGAATCCGTTTCTGACCGTACGGGCTTGGACTCGGGGCCGTTCTCGAAATTACTACCTTCTCCCTGTGGGACGTGACTGTAGCTATTCGGCGTTTTCGTCAATCTCATGGTCGGGGAAATGATGTTGTCCTGATTGGCATTTCAAAGGCGGATGAAAATAAAACTTTCCCGTCTCTCCCATGCAAGATATTTAATCTCGCTCTGTAAATTGAAACCTATTCGACTTTGTGGAAGGAAGCGCACATTTTTCCTACCCCAGGGTACGGTCACTCCACGTAATTTGATGACTTTCGGCCAATAAACACCCTCCTCACAGTTTCGAAGATCTTAGACACGTTAATCAAAGGTAAGATTATATGTCACTTAACAGGGAATAACCTACTTAATGTTACTCAGCATAGATTCCTCAAAGTTCTCTGTCAACTTTCTTTCTTTGACCATGTTCTCCAATCTAGGGACAATGGTTTTGCACTTTACTCAGTGTATTTCGGTTTCACGAAGGCTTTTGATCGTGTGGAGCATGCTCTTCTTCTCTTGAAAATGTCCTCTTTCGGCACAGGTGACAAACTTCGGAATTTCATATTCTCTTACCTGGGCGCTCGTACACGGGTTAAGATTTCTAATGCTATCTCCAACCCCACATGTACGAGGAGTGGAGTCATTCAGGGTAATGTATTCGACCCGCTTTTATTTTATCTTTTTGTTAACGATGCACCAAAATTATTTCAGAATTATAAGCCCTTCATGTACGGCAATGATCTGAAAGTTGCATACAAAGATAAGCCGTCAGATAGTGACATCGTGATTGAGCTCCTAAAGAGTGACCATTCAGGCCTTCGCCCAGTAGTGCTGTTCATGGCGCCTTTACATTCTTGGCATAAATGCTCAGTCATGGTGGTTGGCGATGACCACCAACGTCGACTAAATATTGACGGTCACGGCACAAGGGTGCCTGGGGTAATAAAGGATCTGGGTGTATCATACTCCAAGAACCCCAACTTTTCGGCGCACTGCGCCCAGATAATTCCCAAAGCATGTAGAACGACCGGGTTTATCCTCCGAAATTTTAAAACCAGCTATATTAGAATGCGCTTTTATACCATTCACGTTTGACCTGCCCTGGAATACTGTTAGTTTTTATTTAGCCCCTTGCGTGCTGCTGAGCGCAAGGAAAAAGAATCCGTCCAACATTCTTTTGGTAAACGAGTTTTAGCCTTGGAGCGCCGAAATTGCCTTACCAAGAACTTTACGGGCTTAGAGACCGTGATCATTTGTGGTTTTCTCGATTACAGAGGAACTCTATTTTTGCTACTTAAGCTTTTAATCACTCGCACTTTCAACTCACTAGCTGCTTCAAAACATCTTTACAACCCGCGACGCCACAGTTACTTCGAGGTCTTCTTTCTCTGGCAAGTACCGATAAATATCGTCTTTCCTTTTTTGGGAACACAATCACAATTTGGAAGAAATCACTCAGGAATGTGGGAATTCTGAAGAATAATTCATTGTTTAAGAGAAATATTACTTGTATTTTCCTTTAAGAAAAACTCCCACAGTTTTTTGGGTGCTAAATCCAACGAAATAATCTGCCGTACTGATTAAATTCGTGCCCCAAGACCCCTGGCCGGTCTCACTACATGAGAAATTGTGCTGATTCTACATCCCGCATCACCAGGGACAATTCCTTCAGCCGACAGCGAGCAACTGCTCTTCAGTGCTTCTGTTTGGTGCAATCCAAGTTTCATGAAAAGGAATGGAAACTGAAAATATCTGATGCAGTTTTGCCTATCCATTTCTGAACTACAGTCATTCTAAGGGCAATAGTTTTTTCTCCTGAACCATCCAAACTTCACAGAGACAATACTCTATGTATCTACTCCTCAGGAGTCTTTGAACTGTTAGCCCTGTCGGTGCCTCATCCTCCTTGACGGTGCGTCTAAACTGACATAAAATGCAATTATTATTATTATTTGATGAAAGCCAGAGCGCCGAATGGGGTCGTTAGTGCTGTAGCGGGATCTATTCTGGGGCAACAGGATTTTGGTAAAAGGCTTTGCCTTGATCAACATTTAAAATGGTTGCTTAAGTGGTCAGGATAGAGGTAAAATCACAGAGATGGGAATCGGGTAGCTGTCAGGTACACTGTAGTTTTAGATTTTCCCCTGCAAAGGTCGACTGTGTGGAACGGTATTATTCTGCGCCTCAGCGACTTGGATTACATTTCGCAGTTACTGTTTTTCGCATTGGCATCGGTATCGCACGCATAGAATTTATTTTTCGTTTTCCGAAGAAACTTTCACCGTGTCAACTTTCCACCGAAACGTGGATCCAGTACTATTTTAATCTGCACATTTCAACTTGCCGCACAGCCAAATCGCGACAAACCCCACGTGGACCCCGGAGCCAACTTGCTGGCAAGCCACAGCCTATAAAGACGAAAGGGCAAAATTCATAAGGGCCGGGAATTAGCAAATGCCGAAGAAACCTTCAAACGGCTGGGGCGTCCCTGTATGCAATTCACACGGTTTATCGATTTTTACGTGACGTTGAGCTAACAAGAACACTGTTCTCTCATCGAGCTTTGAAAGTCTACTGGTTCCATCATATAAACCAAAGTATCCGTTATATTCTAAGGACGAAATTACCGCAAAATATGATGGATAAGAGAATGGACATTGCGTTGAATGCTCACATGCTTTTCTAAACTTCAAAAATTTAAAATGCAAGCTTGTAGATTTAAACGGGCTCGTGCAACTGCACAAAGATTTCCAAAGGATCAATAGTAATACAATCAGAAATGTAGGCCTTAAGATGCAAAAGCTTGGAGTAATATCATCTCAGAGGCATCGCGAGGTACGAATAATCAGTCAGTCAGTCAGTTTATTTGAGGGAAGTAGGCTTACGCATTTGAACTCACTATTTTTACCTAAAAAATCGATAAAATAAGCAAAATGTGAAGGAATTACAATAGTAAATGAATGCAGACATTGGTTCACATAGGTCACTAGTCTGTTTGATAAGATAAGATAATTTGATTCAAAGTCACGTAGTCAACTTGTTGCTGAAGCATGTCTGTCAAGCCGACATTAAAATGTCTCCACAGATTCAGACATAACGATCGTCTCGGGCAGGTTATTACACAGTTCCAAGACACGCTGGAGAAGAAAAAATTTCTCACATTAAATATGCTCTGGGGCACATGCAGCTTTAAGTGATGTCCCCGGAGGTTAGTTGTAGTGGCGAGTTGGAAAAAGCCGTCGCACCGAAGGGCGCAGTCCATGTCACGCAGTATACCGAAAGTTTGTATCAAGTCTCCGCGCAAATGCCTATAATTCAGAGGATAGAGATTAAGGTTAGTTAAACGGATCTCATATGGCAGGGCACCTTGTCTTCTTATTAATTTTGTTGCTAGCCTCTGCAATCATTCGGGCAGATTGTAATGCTGCTGCATCTACGTTCCCCAGGCCTAAATTGTAAATTCGAGATGTTGCCTTACAGACTTTCTGAAGACTTTGGAGAAGCAGTCTTTATCGAAAACTGCGAAGGCCCCCGTGATGGCGTATAACACTGAAGTTGCGGCCTTAGCCGCCTTACAGTATTGTGTAGAAGGCTTTAGGCTGTCTGCAACCCTGACTCCGAGATCCTTCTGCGTTTCTGCTTCTCGGAGTGGCATTCCGTTCGGATGGTATTTCCGCGTATTAGGGGTCTGATTTCCGAGGCGCAGTATGACACATTTTTTCAACTAAGTGCACATGCGACCATTAGTAGTGACAAATACACCGTAATGAGGCTTCTGATAAAGGCGGATCGGATTTCCATACTAAACGACCGAAGTACGGACACAAAAATATAACCTGTGGTAGTTTATGATTTCGACGAATCTGGCACGCCTACACTCTTAAGTGTAAAGGCCGAGAGTTTTGTTTTGCCGGGAGGTGACATAACTAGGTCATCCGGCTTACCGTTGCCCTCAGGTTCTCTCAGTTATCCTTAGTATTCTATAGAGCACTTAGCTTAATTCGGCGACAATAGCTCGTGGCTAGGGGGGATCGGAGTAGCCTAAATCAGGAATTTGAAGTCAAAAACAACAACGGGTCTTTCGGAGCCCTTAGTCAACAACGTGGCTGGAAGGAATTAAAAGAATCATCCTGACCGCCGGAATTGCGCATATGTTAAAGTTGTAACAGAATCCACTGCTTTTGCCCCGGAACAATGGGTCACCGCCGACGTCAATACCTAACGGAATCTACTTAACAACCCGACGAAAGTGACTATTCTCACAGTCTTTGGGATTGTGAAAAAGGTTAACGGACATTTGGAAACTGTGAGACCACAGCCCGCTAAAATTGCTTTGGGAGACAAAGAAGACGATATCTAGCTTCTGTCGAGGCAATTCAACCTCCTATTCTCTCATAAGGAGGCTTTTCAGCTGAACCTCCCTTCAGCAGAACTGCTGAAACGCTTTAACTTAGTATCTGAGCTGAAAAGGAGACTTGAAAATGAAGAGACCAACCTGCAACTTTTCAGGGACGAGTAATACGAAATAAAAACTGCTGTGGTGATACAAGATATTGATAATAATAGCAGTCGCAACGCCTTAGTGTAAAGCGCTAAACTAGTCGAACTTAGCGCTACCAAGTTTTATAAACTACATCTCAGGAATGAAAATGCCCAGAACCTGTCTTCCAAAAGGGTGGATTTGAGCATACAGGCAACCGATAAGTCTCCAGATGCTATGGCAATAAAAGAAACGCCGCCATCACAGAAGGTCAGCGATTACGAAGTAATGTTGCAGGGGTACCAATTATTTGGGAGAGGAAGAATGCACCGCCAGGTTGGAAAATTTGTTATGTATTCAAACAACAGCTTAGCCGCGTATGAGAGAACGAGGAAGCTTTCTGACCATACGGCAACTATTTAATAAACAATAAGCACGCAGAACACAGTCATTTGAAATAGTGACTATCTACTGACCACCGAGGGCAGATTTCGGTGCAAATACTTGCCTGTTGGAGGAAATGATGGGGCTTGCTAGGCAACCTGATGTTGTTTACACGGCTGATTTCAGTGCACCCTACATTCGATGGAGAGCTGTAAAAGTGAAGTGCTCGAAGTGACCATCCAATCAGCATCTCCTGTGAGCAACACCTAAAGCCCTTCTCCCACGGCTTGTTCTAGTTCCAAGAGGAATGCGTGGAGGGCAACAAGCTAGTTGCATGGATCAAGTCAGAACGATAGATCCTAGCCGTCTTGACGAGGTATACTACCGAACCCTGCTCGGCCGAAGTGGTCATGCAGAACCTCTATAGGAATATGGCCTATATTCTGTACCATGTACAATGAACAAAGTGAGGTCAAATATATTCCGAGGATACTTTTGTCGAATGAGAGCTGACGCTTCGCGAGTGTACTAAGACGTTCAACTCTCCGGAAACGTCAAAGAGCTTTGGGAGTTATGCAAGGGACGTTCGTCGCATCCACTGAGGGCCACTGCCCCTTATTTGACCGAGAAAAACGAACCGGTGTAAATGGCTAACAGGATATCAAACAATGAAATCAATAAGAAAAATGGTCGTGGAAGACGGTTTTCGGGGACAACGAAAATGTAGCCTCTGAGAACTACAATGTCCCGAAGAACGGGGTCGCAGACTTGATTCGGAAAAAAGCAACAGGAAGTCGAGAGTACTTTGTTCCACCGAACTGCTAAAAGTCCTTATATGTTCCATAGCTGCCTGCGAAGGAAGACACGTAACAGGAGCCCAATCAGTCATATGGAGAATAATGAGAGTTTGGAGATGTCTGACAGTTTAAGCAAGCCGAGAATTTCTCATAGTTCTTCCAGTCCCTTTTCATATGAAAAGTGAATTTCATTTCATCTAGCTATGAGAGCATGCGGCGTCAAATACTGAAGATATTCTGTTTCGAGATGAAGGGGTCTTAAAATACAAAGGAATTGAGGGAATGCAAATCTTCTGCCCGGACAAGATTCAAGCAACTTCGCTATGTAGACTTACTCGAGAACTGTGAACTGATGTTTTTGTACGGCCGGATAAACAGATCGCATTACACCTACTCTCAAAAGTAATATTCATGCACCTACGACCAACCACAGGCTTGTCAGGCTGTAAGCAGTCTGGTGAAAAGTCAGTGTGAAGACCCTCAAAAAGGGATTAATGGATGATTTGGTGACCAACAACCTCCTGTGTAATGCACACTACAGCTTTCGTAACGGAAAAATACTGTAACGAAATTACTTAACGCGATGTTAAGTTGATAAGAACACTCGAAGGAAACATACTGCGGATGCCACATACTCTGATTTTATGCAGGCTGTCGGTGGTGTTCCGCACAACGGTGTCCTGTGCAAGTCGAGAGTAATGGGTATCGGAAGTAAACTTCTCTAACATACCGGAATTCCTCGTCGCTCCTTCTCAAGTTGTTGGTGCATAGTAAAAAAAATCAGGTGGTACTGTCAATGGCAATGGGTCTATTGGGGACCGACACCCTATCCTTTATGTATTAGTGATTGTGATATGGTAAGACGATTAGTGATTGTGTACATAAAGTGGACACTGTCATGTTTGCGGATGATGCCAACATCAGGAAAACCATTCACAGTGCCGGCGACGAAGCTGATTCTCATGAAAATCTTTGTCGATTTGGACAGTGGTTCCGTAATGGTCTCCTGTCATCCATCTGGAACAAATGTCCGATGCCGCCTCTTGGAAGTCAGAGTCAAATACCTAATAGGCGCACCCACAATCTAGATGGGATACAACTCGGAGAAAATGAAACTCAGAAAGCTTTCAGCATTTTGATGACGAACAACTAAACTTTCCACACACTGTTGCAACGTGGCTAGGGCCGCAACCTCAACGCTGTACGCTATCAAGCGGGCATTCTCAGGCTTGAATGTAGACAGTTTCTACTGAAACCTGTAGTTTTCCTACATTATTGCTGATTATTTCGATTTGTATGTGAAGGATGGAAAGGTCAAGGACGCAGGCCTGTTTCTCCCACCACACTAAACTAAACTAAAAAATAGGCCTGGTAATGGCGTCAGTCAGTGAGTTACTTTATGCAAACCATTTCCAATTGGACAACCCATTAACTATTGGAGAACGTCACTATGCCTACGTCATCATATGACCGAATCCGGTATCGGCGATGCCAGGATTGTCAGCAGCTAATTGATAAAGTCGATTAAAATCGATTGCTGAGTGGCTGGGATGGCATGTATGACAGAATGTGTAATGAGGTGTTGAAACTGCGAAGGTGGAAATTCCGAAAAAAAGCTGTGGTAAGAAGAGGACAATGGAATTACTTAAATACCCGGGCCAGGCGGCAAGATGGAAATAGCTTCACATGTGTAATGCAAGAAAGTCATTGGATCAATGATCTTGGGAAATTATTGTCGATTGAAAGACGCCAAATTACATGAGGTCGTTGCGCGAATGGCGGTGTAAACGTTAGTCATGGTAAATATACAACGAAAAACATCCTTAACCAAACTCTACAGTTTAGAAAAGTGGAGCAAAAGTTTTGATGTACGTACTATTAACCGCTTAGAGAGCAAATTAAGGAGTGTGTGACTCACCTTCAGCTGGAGATGAAGGAATTAAATTAACGTCGGGGACATTGTGCAGAAGTAGGTAAGGGCATGTACTCCGATCGGAAATGTAGTAAAGGCAATTTAGGCACATCAGTTCTGTCGAGTACGTCGCATGCTGTAGGTGACTTTAGAATACCTAATATTTTACGCCTCCTAATTTTCAGTAGTTCATTCTCTAGGCCTATTTTTAGATGCTGTGTCTCAGTTTGCTTCATATCACTTGTATATGCTACCAAACGCCACCGAAAACTCAATAAAAAGCCATTTCTTATGTCAACTTGATCTGTCGCGCATCGCCCTCCTTTTGAGGACGATTGCTATAGTATCGAGAAATCTGAATAATTCGGAGCACATTATGGCAGCAAATTGATTTTGAAAAAACATGAAATAAAGTAGAGGTTGATCTCTAGAAACAAAGACGAAGAAATTTGTAAGGGAAAAGCCCTTCAATATTCAGAAGTTGCAAGTAAGACGCATAGATTATACGGCGATTCTTCGACTTTCGAATCTGCCAAATTTAGTGAAAATTCGACTAAACAGACCAAGGTATAAGAGAACTGAAAATTGAACAGGACGTTGATTGGAAAGAAAATACATTGAACAAACGTTGGAACATTTTGGCACTCAGTCCGAGTTTTATGGAAACATTGAGACATTTGCTTACTTTTGCGTCCACACACCCTGTTAGTTCAGCCTGCTTTTACTGAACCACAACCTTCAACCTTGACAATTGCTAATGTCCTTGCGAAATTTACTACTATACTAGCAACAGGTTGTTGACATTAGTGATCGACGGAATCTCAGCGGTTTCTGTTATTCTACGTTTACGTTAGCATTCCGAGGTCTGTTGGCCGTTAACATAAAAACCAGTAATACTTTGAGTTTCTTTGAAACCGAAATATTTTTATTTTGGAGTTTGGAGTTTGAAGGCTGACGTTCTCAAAACTAATTTATTTGAAAATATCATCATCGAGATTTGTGTTTTAACATTCACTTATTTTAATCATTAGTTGCATTTTACCAAATTACGTGTGCTCTGCTGTGAAAACACGTAGAAGACTGAAATCAAATGAAGTACTTGCTTTCTGTTCAGCGGTATAAAATCTCAAGAAAATCAGAATACAAGACCCTTCCTTACGAAGGTCAGGTGGTTGCATCCAGTGTCATGGCTTGAATGCCTTTAATCCGTGGGAAAACTACACTATTTGCGACGTTCTCTGTGCCCCTTAATGCAGTTTACTTCTTGTCCAATCATATTTTAAGTCACTTCATCGCTTTTCGCATGCTAACATTAAAAGTAGCGAAGTGCCTCAGTGCTCCTGTTGCCCTACTAGTGTCTGTTAACGTAATCGGGAAACGACCTAGGATTCAGCGCAGTCAGTCAATGTTAATTCATACCGTGCGATATGTTAAGAAAAACGTTAAATTATTTTCTGCATTCTCGCCAAATTTCCCTGTCCTCAGAAAGCGATGACCCATCAAACATTAACATATCTACTTTTCTCGTTTATTTGTTCTACTGTTCTGCCCTAATGAGCAATCTTTAAGGTATAGTGGCTGAGTTTCTATGCTGTAATAAACTGTTACCGTGTGTTCTCCCAACAGACAATCGACCAGTCGATGATGCACATTTATGTCAACTTAAATGCTCATAAGGCGGAGCAACCTTTATGCTATATCATGCAATCTCATCTCTCATTACCACCACCTACAACATGCATGACCACGTCACGCGCACTTTTGGTGTGACTAGTTTACAGAAAGTTGAGGCAGTTAGACGCACTCCTGTAATGAACCATGCTTCTCGATTATCTTATGTATGCATATTTCAAGAAGCCATACAATCTCTCTCCTAAGCGAAGATACACGGAACTCACTGTACCACTGTCGTTTAAAGCTCTATGTTAATGCGGCTAGTAAAATTGTAGTTGCTTTCTTGACAAAAGTTATCGAGATACAGATCAAAGTCCAAAGCTGCACGTCATTCCGCGTTTATTCATAATTGTGTATGTGTTTCAAAGTTCGACATAGGCCTTGCATGTTTAATTAAAGTGTTGGACTTCTGGTCCGAGGAGTTTTTAACCTGATTGGACAAGATGTCTGTTCTTCTTTTAAATTCGTATTAATTATTTTGAATTTTTAGACAGTGATTGACATGCTGTCCCAACTATTTGAAAGACTGATTTAAAGCCGACTGACTGGGCTTTTTAAATTTTGGATAAGTACTTGTCAAACCTTCAGAGGTCGGCCAATTGGCAAGACGATATGCAGTATGCACTACTCGAATCCTGTTTTGAACAATAAAGAAGGCATTCACAGGGCATTTTGCAGAACAATAAGATAGATGAACGCGTTGGAAAACTTACCTATTACTGAAGTGGGCACACATAGCAAGTTTACCCGCCAATTGGATTATTGGTAAACCCAACGTAGCCGGAGGCGCTCCAACTTAGTTAGGCTTGTAGGCACCCGAATCGTACTTGTCGAACTTTTGTTGCTTGCTGTCTCTTAGTTGCTGGATTTTTCTGTTTGAGTTCTTTTAACAAAGCAATTTGCTCCGATGCTTTTTTCGCTTTGTGAGGGTTACAGTTATTAGCAGATCCATCGGTCTTTCCATACTGTCCTAAAATCCATTACACGATGCCTGCACATAAATCCACAGGCCCTTCCTAGAATTTCGCTTTTCTCCCTTAACTTGACGCAGTCGAATTTACGAGTGATTTGGCTTTGAGAAGTAATTAATCATGGTTGTTCCGCACAAATGCCAATATGACGAATTTGACAGGGCACTTTCGGCTTCAAGAATTCGTATAGGTGCAAAATATTGGATAAAACCTGTGAAATGTGTAGCGTGACTCGGACCAGTATGTGCTGTTCAGCTCACTTGTCTTTCCAGTCTTGTTCTCTTGTATGTTCATCATCATCTTACTAGTGCACATACTTGTTGGCTCTCAGTAGCTTTGGTGTCTGTTCTGCGACTTAACCTATTCGGTTACTTTGACGTCAATAGAATTGCTATCCACCGACAAGGCATGGTTTATATTCAGCATGCGTTTGCTTCTGACTCAACAATAAAGACTAATTGCACATTTTTGTCGACTGTCTACTACACAGGGTCCTGTTTACTCAAACTAATTCTGAAATAAAAGACGAAGCAGCCGACTCGGTCAAATGCATGCCTGTCTTAATTGCCGAGACCGTCCTAAAACCTGTATTGTCAGCTGACTAGAGAGCATTCGTGGGGGTGGTTAACAATGACTGTCAGTAGCGACCGGCAATTTTTTATCGCAGATCTTAACTTCTTTCTTTTTTTGAGTTCCAATACCTCTGGCTGTCTTTGGCTCATAATGTGCTCTCTCGTATGGGTTATCGAATCAGCCTGTTATGCATTATTATTGCATGTATTTTAAGCAGTATGATAATTTGCGCCACTTTTTGGGTTAAGCTTGTGGACCTTTATGATAGTGAAGTTCTTCTTGGATTAATTAAAATCGAAATTTATGGTAGAAATGTATTGTTTATAGTTGTTGTTTTTTAACAATATACATTCCACCCGGGATTTAATTCATTCGTACCTCCTGTGACAAATAATTTGGACAACTGTTAACACTAGTGCATGTGCGGACTACAGATTTTTGGTTAAATTCTAATTAAATTGAGAACAATTTTTCAGTCGGCATTTTTAGACTCAAAACTAGAGTGAACATAGTTAGTTCACCTAAGGGCAACACTACTTTTATTGCTTTCTGCCCGATAAAGTTTGAAGTAAGGCCTAAAATTCAAGGTACGCCACGGTTAAACGTATTTTTTAGCTGTTATATTGGTTGGTTGTTTGTCATGCATGCGGATGAACAGTGCCCACGAAAGGTTTTTCTTCATCAGTAGACTTAGAAATGAGCAAATAAATGCAATAACTTTAAGCATAAATTGTGACGCATTGTGCATGAGACTAAACTCATAATCGAAGCAGTGTAAATAACGCCTACTTACCGTGCTACGGCGACCGTAACTGAAGTCAACAATGAGTTACGCTTGAAATGCACAGTAGGGACCAGCTTGAAACACTTTGACCACGCTGCACAGTGTCCGCGCATCCCACAACAAATGCCACATATGGGAGGTGTGTTGGCAAGCCCGAATGCTGATTTCACCCCGCGCACTCACTTGTGTCCAATGTCAGGTCAGATAGCCAACCGTTGCACAAGCGAGCGAAAAGTAAGGTCGACTCTGGGCTCCAGCTCTACAGCAGTTCATCTTCATACTCCTCACTGTAAACAACTTGGGACGCTAGAAGTTGTTGCTTAGAAGACCGTCAACTGACCAGTTATCTCGGTTCTTTCAGGACGCAGCGTCAGGCTGCAATGGCTCCTTTTAAATGTGACTTCCACGAATGCCCCACCGAGGTGGGATCCGAGCCGTCCCTCTTTATGGAAATCTGCCGCACGGTGGGGAATCGGGTTGTGTGTCGCACGGGTAGGCGAGCCGCCTGGCTTTGACAACTAATGTGCCTGAGCACGCCTCCGGTCACCCTGACTTTGTCTTACCAAGGTGGGTGGGGATGAGGGAGTGAGTCAGTTGCCGCGCAAGTCCTCTGTTGCTGTAAACTGATTTACGCATGTCACTGTACTGCGTTCAATACGATGTGGGGGACACGGTGAAGATCATCGTATGGGACGATCGAACTGTCGTAGGACAAGCAAGTTATAAATTTTTAAGGTAACACTACTCCTGATGGCTTGGCAAGTTAACTTATAGGTTCAGATAATTTGATTTTATCGATGACATTAGACATTTAAGCAACTTCCTGGAGCTCACGCTCGATATCTTTAATAGACGCGGTTTAAACGCCTCGCATTCGGTTTCTTCTGGCCTGTAGTCGGCTTGCGCGGCTGCTTTCGGACAAATGCCTCCACGAATGATGCCATGGTGTCTAGCTCGATGTCAATCTCCTTGTACTTTTAACCATCTTCATATTTTGCGTTCGACGCACAGGAGGCAACATGTCCGTTACTGAAATTAGGTAGGAATTCTTTAGCAAGTTCACAAACCCTTTCCAACCGGATGACAGTGGATAATGGCTGATTCTGGGAGGGCACTCATGACCCCGCTTGCAAGATTGGAGGTCCGCGGACCTCTCAATAGTAAGGTCTTGCGGGAATATTTTAAATTATGAAACTCTTTGTAATAAAATGTGTAGTGGATGGCATTTTGCACTAAGATCACAACTCTGGGAAAGATAACTGGCATAAAAAATTTAGCTCGAGGACTTTGTATATTTCCTACCGAAAAAAACCCGTTTGTGCATTATGCGGACTTTTTTAAGATCCCTTTTTCTGATGTTCAGCTACACGAAATGCCTGATAAAAGTGGACGGCACGACTGACTGAATCATTCTCTTTAAAATGAATTAGCCAAATGTTCCTGCTTAGCGATTCATTGTGCTACTTTTTAAAACGATTACCAACTTCAACAATGAGCCGACCAACTAATAATGTCTGCAAATTCTATTAAAGGAAACGTTTTTTGAGGAGGGTTCGAAGAATAATTGTTATTGGCGAGTATTCGTCAGGTTTATACATTTTCAGCGGCAGTTTCGGATATCTGATCAGTTTCTTCGTTTCTCAGATTGACCATCAAGATCTCATCTAATTTATCTATTTTGTGGCCGTCATTATAGACATGGTGTTTTATTAAGAGAAACCCTGAAGTTGGAATTTGATCTCAACCTGTTTCTGTGCTTTCAAGTGTGAATATTAGCAGATATTTTGGCGGTCACCTAGGCGACTTGATATAATGCCCACGTGTGGGCCATTTGTATGATTTCTGGACGGAAGAACTATCGCGTGCTTCTAATTTTGTTCAAAACATGCCAGTTATTTTGCAAACAGCAGTTATTACGTACGTAAATGATGGGCTCCTACGTTTTTGGAAGCCCGTTACTGGAGAGGATCTACATACTGCAACCAAAAATCGTGTGTAGATTTATTTTGGTCTCAGGGGCTTTTTAACCAAACTCCCATAACCCTGGATATATGAGTCATCATTGAAGGGTTCCAACTATCACCGACAACAAGAAAGTTGAAATCAGTCAGGAGAAAGTATGGATTTTGGGCAATTCAGTGAAATGCTTCTGCATTAACGACGAGCATGATGGGTTATTAGCAGTTGCTCGAATTAACTAGGCTATCCCCCCGTTTCCTGACGATCTGTTCGCAGTTGCAGGAATTCTTTGAAGGATTTCTGACAACCTTACTATCTTCTTTCTTGATCGGCAGGTAAACCAGTGAATATTTGCCACAGACTTTCAACTGTCTGAATTGTCCACGTGGTAGGACTTAAGTGCATTGGCACATGCTCTATGGTCAGTGTAACGGCCCCTCCTTCTTGATATTGCATAGATGACCATCATGTTTTCCTTTTATTTGACTGCTGAGACTGGAAATTTTCATACTGTTTAAAATTATATAGAGCGGAAGTCCGTTTGTTGCAAACCCCATCACCCCATATTTTCTCACACACGTTTTGCACCAATACCAAAGCTGTGCACTTCTGTGAGCTGTTTATACTTTCTGACCATATAAAGTAGAAGATGAATAACCTCCAAGAAAACCAGGCCTCCTGATTGTTTCCATTTCCTGAAATACTTCTAACACTCTCTAAAGATGTCCTAGCCATTTTGCTAATAATTTGCTAATGGCTAAATTTCTCTTCATGGGGGTTAGCCCCGTGATTTCCTAGCCATTGAGTAACCGCTATACTCAATCCAAATGCATCAGATCGTATCTGTCCCCGGGGGTGACGAATGCTGGCAGGTCCATTTTGACCCACAGCATCACTTCAAAACCCTCAAACTTACCACACGCAGGATCTGTTTATCTGCGTTCTTGACATCTCCCAGTAAATGCAATTATTAGACAGCTTAGCCCGAGAATAGTCTTTAGTTGGAATGAAGTTGCTGCCTCGAGCCCTACTTCACAGGTCTCAGTTATGATAGCAGAATCACTACACGTCAGGGTAAAGGCAGCCTAACACTTCACAAAAAAGTCAATGCAAACTTGACGATGAAGATTCTACTGTCGAATCGCTTCATGTTCTACACTGAGACAAGAATGAAAACTTTTCTGCTTAGCATAAGATTCCAAAAGGTTTCATTTAGGTCTTCCTCTGATTTCTCGACAAGTCACAATATCATTTCTGCCACTGCCAATGTACCTAAGGGGTCGGTTTTAATAAATAAATCTCTTTATCTTATTTCCATGATCAGTTATGTCTTGTGTCTTCAAAGTTCCAGCGAATTGTCCCATTAACTGTTTGTCATCCTAAAAATGCGGAAATTTTCCCTCCTTCAGGAAGCCCGAAGTTAAATTAATGAGGAAAAGCTCGATCGTCTAGAAGAACTGAACAAAAATTTCTAAAATGCCACCCTCGCTTTACGACATTTTGGGCCTTCCTAAGACTGCCACTGAGGTTGACATCAAAAAAGCATATCGAAGACTTGCACTAAAGTGGCACCCTGACAAGAACCCAAATTCAAAAGAGGAAGCCGAAAAGCGTTTCAAGGAGATAAGCGCCGCCTACGAAATCCTCTCTGATGCAGAAAAAAGAAAAACGTACGATCAATTTGGAATAGAGGGTCTTTGCAAGAATGGCTCCTCGACGAACTATACTTCTCGCTCTTCTCCGGGCCAACGTAATGTCCCACCGAGATCAAGCTTCTTCGGCGACGACTTCTTTTCTTCCCCCAGTTTTGGGTTCTCATTTCGCGACCCCGAGGAATTGTTCCGCGAATTCTTCGCCGAACATATAAATATTATGAACAGTTTCATGAACTCTTTTCCGAGCAGCAATCTGCCCCGTCGAACAGAGTCCTGCCGACCTCGGCCCACGGGGACAAATAGTACCTATAACCTCCGTCGCGCTGAAACCAAGATTGGACCAGCCTCCGCCAATCGTACTTCCCTCTTTGGCAGCTTTTTCGCAGAGCCTAGCGGTCTGTCTCACGAGCTTTCCTTCTTCTCGAATCCCAACATCGCCTCTGGTTTCCAGCAGACCAACTCCTTCTTCACTTTCGGCACCGGTGACCGGCAAACGAAGGGCACTTTCCGCTCCACCTCCACCAAATTCCGTGACGGCAAGTGCGTGACCACTCGCCGAGTCATCCAGGATGGCGTCGAGACAATCACTGTTGAGGAGAATGGCGTCGTCACCTCAAAAACCGTCAATGGTCAGCAGGTCGCTTTGGTAAATTCCTAGGTGTCCACAGACACTGTTGGACCTTGAAATTGCGGAGTTCGCCTTCCTCCACCATCAGCTTTTCCCTCTCACAGTGCATCGCAGGCGCCCTGTTCGTTAGTGGGGCAAGATTTCACGCATATGCATGGTGCCATGTGCTCGTCTTCACCGGCTCAAAAGTGGTTGCACATCTTTCTGCTGTCAAGACCGTCACTGAGCGAGACCCTATAGCTGTATGGTACCGCCCTCAATCTCCTCTGTTCGCCATTTGTTCATGCCAGTCTTACCCTCCAAAACATTCGTGGGTACGCGTTTATTTTTTTACTTGCTTCCTTTGAAACTCACGAACACATTCATCCATTGGTGATGGAGATGAAATATTTCTCTGTCAAGCTCTCAGAGACCCCAGTTGCTACTCCTGTTTTTGCCGCTGCTGAAAACGCTGCGTTTCCTGCGATCGATCTTTTCCAGAGCTTGTCGTTGCCATGAGTCATTCATTTTCTTCTCAGAGAAGAACCGCCAACCGAGTTTTGCATGCCAAGTAGGCTTGTATGTAAATCTCAGACCTGTAAATCGAACCCAACGTGCTTCTACCTATGTGTGATAACGGCAAAACGTTTTATTTTGTAACGGAGACTTCTAGAATTGAAGCAGGCGTTCGACTCCGCGGGTACTATTCACAATTTAATTCAACCAGCTTACTTGGAGGCGGATGAAGCGGCGTAGGCGAATGGTAGGAAGGCCTTTTCTTTGACGATATGTTGAAGCATATCCCTCAGAGCGTATAATATTTTTCATCTTCTACACCACTTAACATCGGCATGTGTTTTAATTTAACCATCGCCACTGGAGTGCCAATATGCTACCAAATACTACTAGTACTCGAGTTGACGGTGAATCAGGGTTCAAAGTTTGGGTTAGTTTGTATAGATCGAATCTGGTACAGCCTTCTACTTCGAAGCTGCTGAACGTTCCCCCGGCCAACGAAAACTATCCAATAAGCGTCAAAGCAAAATATTATTCAGTGTGTGCGCGGATACGGAATAAGGACTTATGATTGCATGTCTTATGTTACTAGCCCAGAATTAACGGCTAGATGGAGATTATGTAACAGTTGCTTTCGACTAACATATGTGGACTGCTGGAACAGTCTTGCATAATTAAAAAAAGCATTTGCACGGGCGAGTCGCTTTCGACTGCCACTTTTTTGATGCATGAACCGCACAAGTTGGCCTGACAATTTTAGCACTGCAGAGTTCTCCCGACATGTTTCGCGGTAAACAACCGGCCCCTGCATAACCTGGCAATGTGATGCAGTTTATGCAGTTCAGAATCTCCAATCAAGCAGATCTCCAAGGAATCTATCAACTCAGACGGACCTCACGTAGGGAGAATACGAGATATTTAGGCAGTGACAAGTTAAGAAGACGGAATGAAAAAACCGTTTCCAGAGTAATTCTGTCATGAATTTGGGTTCTAATCCAGCCATTAACTGGGCATTACTACGTCGTGGTGTCGATTTTTGTGTCTGGTTTTCTTTTGGCAATGTCCGCTATAGCGCGGCAATGGACGACTGACTGAAAACCGTCTGGAACATAGATTGCAGCAGTAATGAGAATGCCCTGTTCCCCCCCCCCCACGGATGCCGAGACAAGCGCAACGGCACGAACGGGTTGTCATGGGGATCGCCGACGTTATGAATGCGGTGCTACTGAGTGGTCACAGTCAGCCTCAGAACGCCCTTCCTATCGACATGGCAGACCTTGAGTCTGTCCCTTTGAGATAAGACGAACAGCGCGGACACTGCCATCGATTGCACAACAGCGTGTGCTTTGTTACCAGATGTCATACGAGAATACGAATCCTTTGAAATATGTATCCTTTGAACAAGCCAGTTTGTATGCCGTTGCCGACAAAGAAAGGGAGACTGGGATGGTCACTTCTGGCTTTTTAGCCGTCGTCAGCCAGTCATATTCGCTCCCGAGATGTGCGACATCAGCTTGTGTTTTAAAAATGCTTTTAATTGGTAATGTCACTTTCAGCAGCAATGACAGAATGCGGAAAGGACGCTAATTATGTGATTATATGTTAGAATGCACAGATCATTAATGTCTTCTCCTTTCAGTGTTTAGCCCCGACCTTCAAATAGTTTGACACTTGTTTATATGGAATCATTCATAGAGATAGGGTCAGAGCTTTCAGGTAACATATTTTTAACAGTAAGTGAAGTGTTGACGCATGCCATGCCTGCTGCCAGCGTCCCCATCGAATCTTTTGCAAGATTTTTCTAGTTATTCACCATCAAAAACGAAATTTGTTTTCCGATTTACTGAAGTTTAGACTAACGGAAAACAGCCTAAGTAACCTTGTGCAAAAAATACCGCCATTGCTATGGCTACGTCGCCAGACAGCCGCCGATTGGACATTCGGACTGAACCCCCTTCTGTAGATTTTCACATCAGAGCAGCTGTAGCATAGGAACGGCCTTTCCTATGCACATTTTTTCTGACAGCGGTATGTAACTCTTGTCGTTAACGGCGAGGCAGTGCGGAATAATAAGACGTGAACCGAGGTTCAAGAGTGCTATGGTATCCATAGCCAGTCGTCCCACCTTAGCAATTTGGCGTGGCAAGTATCATTGCGTCCCACCTCCGCGACATCAAGCGTGTTGGGCAACGAACAGGCACAGTGCACTAACGTCAGATAGACATGTGAAGAAACCTCTCGTGTAGGTGTGACGTCATACATACTTGAGTAACAGAGTTGAACTTAGCTACGCTTTAGCCGCCGATAATTGGGATAAAGACACTTTCCGGAACGATTTATCGTCGCTTTAATAGCGGCCAGTTTGCTCATCCTATTGCATGAACGTCCCCTTCCCAGAAAAATATAAAAAACCAAAACTGCGAATGGGGCAGATGATAATATCGCTTACGTCTTCTTCACTCACAGACGTGACCTTGCTTACCCAAATGGTACAGTTAGGTACAACAGTTTAAGACATGGCGATTTCCGCAACAAGAACAACTTACCGACTTAGTCGTAATTGTGTTGTCTGTCGTATACACAGGACGCCCGTGTCAAAACATATTAGGATGGAAGGCAAAACTCCTGCAGACACACGAACATTAAAACGTGCGATCGCAACTATTCGAGTAACAAAATGGACGCCATAGAAGTAAATGCACCGTTTTCGAACAAAATATCGGAAGTCGAGTGCTCAAATCGTTTTGTCCGTGACTCTTATTGCACCACGAGTCTGGTTCTCGCACACTCCCTGGTCCCTGAATGCGGACGAAAAGTACCATTCAACGGCTTGAAAATTTTACTGCCCTAGGACAACTAAAAGAAAAGGTGGAGACAGAGAGAACTATAGGACGCCAGTGATGCTGGTGGGGTAGTCGGAATAATAATACTGATGTGGTGGTAGAGGAGGCGGAGAAGTAGGAGGATGATCCAAATCTGATTCTTTCGAGTTTTCATGAGACCGATGCGTCCTGTGTATACGTACTTGTGTTGTCTGTCGTGCCCTCCAAACGGGCCACGTGTTAGATGCGCTGGACCAACACAGGGGCCACATCGGACTCTGGCAGGCGTTATCTGTGCGCAATAACAAATGCCAACATTTGCGGGGTGCGCTGACGGACCCCGTTGTCGGCACTAGTTGTACAACTGGACCACTGCCATCACCCCATTGTTTTGTGGTCAAAATCCTGGTCATTTGTGTGTGGACCAGGGGGTGCGGAGTGGAGCGCCAAGGCGAGGATCCGTCCGAGCCATCCACCTGCGGCCTACCTCGTCTCCGGTCTTCTTGACTTGGTCTTGACACCGGGCTCAGGCGGGGGAGGAGGAGAGAGTGTAGGTAGATGCTACGCAAGTCTACTGGCACTATAAACCCCTGCGTAAGTCACCGTCCCTGCTCCATAATGCAGTCTGTGGGGCGCACGGTGGACATAATCGAAATCGATGGTCGAACTGTCGTGTTGTCTGTTATTAATTGTGCATTGTTATAAGCTTGCACAATGGAAGATTGAATGCTTCAGTCGCTGGAGGTAAACGTGTGACTTCAAATGTGTGCATGGGACAAAAAGGTATATATTTTGAGTAAATGGAAGTCATTTTTAAGTGAGTGTTAGGAGCTGTGTTTCACTGTAAAAGCCTTAATCGGACCCTGTAAATGAAAAAACTGTCATCCAAATTATTTTTCATGTGTTTTTTGCAGTAAAATTAGTTGAACTCAGGTTCCGCGGAGGCCATAAGCCGTGCCTTCGCTGTTATCTCCTCATAAAATGTCCTCTTTTATCACTTTTCTGCGTCCTTATGGAATAAGCCTTACGCTATACATACGTAGAGGATAAATCTGCCAGGTTGACGCTAGTCAAAAGTAAATTAGACCGAATAAGAGAATAAAATTGCTTTCAAGACATTTTTGTCTGCAATTGTTACCATACAAAAGAGAATGTTTAAGATTCCGATGAGCTCGCCCTCACTCCTCTGAACAGAAGTGCTTGTCAGGGCCGATGGAGAGGCTTTCTCATAGGAAGTATCAGACCCTAGGCAGGTGGTTATGACTTTCGGAATTTTAAATGTAATTCTTACGTTTAGAGATTAATGCGACTTCATGAAAAACAACTCCCTTTTCATTGATCGCCAATTCATACACGCAAATGGCGCGAAATACAACAGTTAAAACGTCTGCAGCAGGTGACAGCACCTCAACCCCACTGGATTGGCGCATTTCCAAACTGCTTAGCGCAAAATCTGATTGGTTGGACATACTGACATTTGCCTTTAGCGCAGAAGATAGTGGTTGTTACTTTACTAAATGAACTACTTTTGCGATGGGCTCCCGTAACGGACAACGGCGCCGTGAAGCTCCCGTCTAATGGGACGAACCGCAGAAGACGACCGTCAATATTTTCATCGTCCCCACCGGCGAGTGAGCCCCGACACATATATGAAGCCCGACTCCTCAGATTGAAAATGAGCTTTAAGATTTTAAGTGACCAATTTAATCCCATTATTCCCGATTTTGTGGATGGCTTAGCTGACACAAGTGTTGAATAATCTCGCTCAGTTAAAGGCACTTGAGCATTTGACCAGTCTCAATTTGCCTCATTCGGGCAACTCTCAACATTGGAATTTTGTTCTAATTGTCGATCACTTCAAATTGAATCCAAGACTCGATGTTTTATTGTCACTAAAATATTCCTTGGTATGTACCGTTCTTGAGAACCAGTTTATGAAATATTCATTTTACTGAGTCACTGCACGTTCCACGAGGTCCTTAGTTAAACTTATACGACCTTAGTTACACTTTCTTCTATTGAAGTAAAGGAGAACACTCTGGGCGTCAAGTCTCATTAAATAATGTTGCCGCCTATATTTTATGAACTTCTGTCCTGAATTACTTTAATTCGTAATTGATTTATAGCTCATGACACTTCGGAATATACGACTGCGACAGTTTGCGCCATTAGCTTACGATAAGTAAAGCGCAGTTGGTTGGTTAAAATGCTTACAAGTTCTGCTGACTTCTAACGGTTAACCATACTTTCAGCTTGTCGGTCAACATTTGGTTTGGAAGATTCGAAGCAACTACGTTCAACCGCATTTTGGGACACGTTACCAGCTGTGTCTACCATTTCGAAAAAGAATTTGGAAAGGAGTCGAGACCAGTTTGTTTGGCTGAACTACTTCATAGCAGGTTACTATAGACTAACCGAAATGAACAGATCATGATTTTAGGCTTCCTTAGCTTAGAAATCCATTGAGGAAATCTTTTAGCTATACACAAATTTCTGCAAGATTGTGTAAATCGATGTTACTGCCGCCGCATATACACATGTTAACTACGTGACAGAAATACTCGGCACCATGTTTCTACACAGAGAGTTAGATGTACTATTATACTAGCAGGGAATTTGATGTCTCATGAAGTGTTAACCGAAATCGTAGAGTGTGCCTTTTATTCGAAACGACAAATTTAGCAAAGTGACAATTTTGGTTGTCTTACAGCAGATATTTCAGTCCTGACAGGATGCCAGCTTTTGGACGTGTTGCTTTTCGTCACTTCAAACAAAAGATTCTGTGACAAAATGACCGGTTAAGTAGTCGTTGTTGTTCCCGTTGATCACCGATGTCATTATGGATACAAATATATCAGAAAAACGCAAAAAGATTTTTTCTCTCGCACTCATTTGATGAAAATTACGTATTTCTCGTTTCGAACTGAAAACACATTCTAGACTTTTGGTTAACACTCCATGAGATAGCACATTACCTGTACGCGCCGAAATAGTAAGACCGCAGATAGGCGTTCGTTTAAGGGGACAACCTGTTCAGGCAAGGGTAGTCAAGAGGACAGCAGGCCACGACCATGTTTTGGGGGACTGTTTGCGTGACTTTTCGACCACACACGCATGGAGTTTTTTCGTACATTATCAGACGCCTTACCTGATAAGTAATCCGTAACTCCTTGAGAATACGATTTGCTATAGCAAGATTTAACTCAATGCTTGTTATTTATGACCAGACGTTCAGTCAGCCTATTTTAATAATTAAGAAGTATCATTTTATTTTAAAAGTGCAATATTAAGATCTGCCACCAACTTAGATAAAGCTCCCTTCGGACTAAACATCCAAATCAGGGAGGCTAAGACAATTTGTTGTCGAGCAACGCCAGTTCAAAGGCTTTTTTCGTATTTCCCACATTAACACGAGGCTAATGATCTGGAATCCCATACTAGGATAGCTCGTGTCTGCTCCAGCACGATCAGCTTTACCTTTCCGATCAAGCCTTATTTTGCAAGATGGACTCATCGAGCACCTGCGACTACACGGTGCACCTGTCAGCAGATTCCTCAGTCGATCAGTGAGCCATAAAAGCGATCTAACGACGATGGCCGTCGCCAATTGCAACAACAGACTACTGGTGTGCTATATTCTATCGAATGTTCGCGACATCTGGTGAAAGAGGAAAAGTTGGTGACGCATTTTCCAGCCGTACGCACAGCTTTGGCTGCTTCTCTGCCAGCACAGTTGATACGCAGGAACATTTGTATAGGCCAGTAAACCTTTGCTGCTTCCATAGAGTAACCACATGAGAAGAAATAGCCAAAATTGTAAAAATATCTTGAAGATTTTGCCTTGATTAGTCCCATCAAATGTACTTCCAAGTGAATCATATTTTTGACCTATGAGATTCTTATACCCAAGCAGTTTTAAAGTTTCTACAAATACGCAGCGATCGGTAAATTCAGACAGGCCGTAGATAGTTTGTGTTACGAACCAAACTCCAGTTTTTGAGGACGGGATTGGAAGAGAGTCGAAAGAGCCATTTATGTTTACAGGTTGAGCTGCCACGATACAGCCGTTGGGCTGGAATTCGTAGTGTCTGAGGGCTTTCCGTAAATCTGGTCTCATGCAATTTCTAGACCCTGAATGTCGACCTTTTCGATGCGAATTTGTGCCCGGAGATAACACAGCGTTTCATGGTAGCTAAAGGAAGATCATCTCCCTAACAGGCCGCGAGACTCAGTGCTCACCCGCTCGGCCCTCCTATATTTCACTGTAGACGAACAACGCTAGTATCAACAAATCTCATGCACCAACTGAATAAACTATTTAAGCTCCGAAGCTGGTAATAACAGATGATTGTTTATGGAGCTGGGAAAATTCCGGTAGATATTGTGAAATTAGAATCTGCAAATATACTTAAGGGACGTAGATACGCCTTTTCTCATTTACGAGATCTGTGCAGATTCATTTATTATTTTAAAAAATTTCGACAAAATAACCCGTTTTGAGAGCAAAAAATAAGTTATTATGCATGCGGAATGGGTTGTTGGTGTTATAAGCCATCGCGACCATAATGACTGTTGGACATCTTTTAATAATTTGGCAAAGAAACTACTTCTAATATTAAGTGAACAGGGGGTTATGTTTCCCTCCTTACCTCTACACACAAGCCATTTGAAGAAGGTATTGTTTTCTAAAGTGATCAGGAAAATATAGCTCACATAGTCAGTACATTTGTCCTGGGAGTTAAGTCATCTAAGCCAAGGAAATGTATTTGCTCGATGAAGTAGTACGTTATCATAACTATATAGTTCCTGTATTTGACTAATTTACATTTGCGGGAGACAGCTATTTCACTCAGTCTTTTTAGTGCTTGCCTAGTATGAAGTAATTGTGAGGCATCCAATAATTTCCTTATGTCTATACCTGATCAAATTTCCGACAGCCAAGCAGAAACAAACGATCCGAATTTCCGGACTGGAGCAGCCTCTATCCGGTCCAAAATGACTTGACGCCTCCGCATTCGACGATGATTTTGGTGGTTGGGAATCAATGGGGCTGTCTAACTGTTCAGAATGACTGTTTCTAAACCTTCTCAGCATTCCAGAATAAATCTACCGCCAAAATCGAATGACCGAGAAAAGATCATAGAGCTTGAAAAAAGGCCGCCGACCCCTCCCCGGCAATAGGAATTAATGTTGCTTACTGCACAAGCGAGGACGGGGTGGTCCTCGATGAAGTCACTTGAATAAATTACCTAGCGACATCTTTGATGCCTCTATAACGTACGAAAATAAATGTTCTCTCTGTCTTCCCCCAAGATCTGCCATACTTTGTGTTCCCGGTAGCTCGGGTCAAGTAGCTGGATCATAAGGAATTTGGCACTTATGTTGAGAGAAATGTGCCGCGTGTGGATGAAATTCGCAGAAGGCCGGATTGTGGGCGAGGTTATTTTTAGCTTGTGGTGACTCAGTTCTCTCTATCTCTCTCTCTCTCTCCCTCTCACTTCACAAGCCCAATTTTGCAGGGGGGAGAATCATAGTCCCAAGGCGTGTGGCTTGCAGCTGCCGGCCTCCACAAACAGCCCATTCGCGCAGCCCTATCCGGTCCTGTTATGTCTGTGCGCCTTTGGACGCGCGCGTCCTGTGGGGCTTGTTGTTGCCGTCACGGGAGATGACCACGAGTTGGCGACTGCATACAATGCCAATGCAGTGCTTGATGACATTCAGGTACCCATATCCGCCTACATGCATTGGCCGAGGCATCGAACTGGTTGGAAACTTTATTCGACCTTCTCGATTCCAGACTTGACCGCGATTTGTTTGGATAAATCATGCCAGCAATATTCAGATCGGCCCAGACAGTAAATTGTGAGAAGCTACATCTTACGTAGGTGGAACCTATGTGCCGTTGTCGGCCGACTAGGAGAATCAAAAATGGCAACGCAAGCTAGTATTTTAGATATCTTTGCGTAATAACTAGTGAACTACCGGTCCGTCGGAAACCAAGCGGGGTTTGTTTAGTACAGAGTATGTAGTATCAAGGCCATATAGGCAACATCAAGAAAGAGCCATCGCAGTCTGACTCCACCTTCTGATAAGAGGGCTTAATTATCTCGCCAGTTGAGAGTCTTCCAGCCACAGTGGTAGTTCAAAGCACGTCAGGTTGTTTGTAGTGAGGTGCATGCGTCGAGTATTGTGGGGAAGTAGTCACCAGAGTCGACCTTATTCTATCCCTACCTAGACAGGCACCATCCTACAGTCAGAGCTGGTCAGACATCTGATGCCGGGATTGGACCCAAGTGACCGTAACGCCAACACGTGCGTCATAATCCTTGCTTTTAAATTAGAGAGATGAAGACTGATTTCATGGTTTAGAGAGTTCTGATAGTAGAGCCACAGCAAAGATTACCTTTCAGTTTGCAATACGACAAGAAGGTTGCTTTGTTGAGGAAGGCGCGAGAGCTGTCGTAACCATTGACTTGGTAGTAGTCACGGTCGTTAAGTTAAAAGTGTCGACCGTAAACTGCATGTCGCTTTTCCCACAAATCGAAAAGAAGGCCAATAATAAAGGAACCAATTATAAATATGATAGAGTTCGACACAATAATCATACAAGACTGGACTGCGCGATCTTCGCTTGTCAGAGTAGAATAAAAACTGCTATTTAACTCAGGGAGTGTGTGATCTACGCGAAATGCTGTCGCATTACATTAGTACATGGACAGATTTAAGGAATAAACACCAGAGAAGTGAATACATAAGGCGTAGTTTTACGGATACGGACGGCTTCTTGATAAGGTAGAACCAATACAGAAAAAGACTACTTTTCAAATTAAAGGGCCATTTTTTCTGCAAAAACTTACAACCTGCATCCTGGATTTTGTCGAAAAACAGCTGGAACAAGCAAACACATCATGACCATTGAAACAACCACACTCCTATACATGAGGTGACGGCCGACATCAACCGAATGACAGGATCATCTTCCCTGGGTCGCGATCGCAAACGACAACACGTCCCAGTAGATGGAACACAAACGCTGGCATAGTTGCAGGCTAACGTGTGCGCCCACGGCTAGCAGATATGTGGATCGGTCTTCAGTAAAGGTTCGCCACGAAACAAGCAGGCCCCCGTGACCGTCAAATAGGTACACGAGGACCATGCAGCGGTTACACCTTTAGGCGTGACTGGCATCGACGTACCATGGCGTTCGACGACAAAAAACCACAGACCTTACTAATACTAGAATGTGACGGATGTCGTTTAATCTAAAACGAGCTTTACCCGCCATCATCAGACAGGAGCCTGGATTCACTGACAGATTTGTCGGTGAAGAGCGCGAGCAGAATAACTTTTTGAATGTAGGAACTGCAAGAAATCGTCTCTTTACTGGGCCTCTTCACACGCCCTTGCCCAGTGAGTTGCGACGTAGACGGATTTTTTTCACACTCACATTGTTGTCAGTCGCGTGTTCTGGGCACACCTCCAAAACCTTAAGGCACGGAGAATAAAGTTAATCTAGACCATAACCGTACCCAGGGATGGATTCCAGTCTAGGTGAATTAACACATGGCTAGGCATCCCACGTTTTGCTTTTAACATAACTGGGAGATTAAGATGGCAGTCTATCGATATTAGCGAAGTGGAAAACTCGAGGGAGAATGCATTGCTTCATGCAGACCTGGCATTTTATATGGTCACAGCATTCGCCGAATTTATTTAAATTTATAGTTAACGCGTTTACCAGCAAGTTCCATTTGTCTTACTCTGTGGAAATGCAGAAATGACTTGATCTCGGTTCATGAATAGGTGATGACAGTGCTTGTATTTCAGGGACGATATTTTAGAAAACAACTATTGGAAATGAACACTAAAAACAGATATTTCATTTTCCCTGCACTTCTAAAACATCGCGCAGTAAAAAGACCCGGAGAGGTAAGAATAATACTGAGACAGTGAGCATGGCAGAATTATGCACAAGTAAATTCTCACCAGAAGTACGTTTACGACGTACGCTGCTTGCAGGGGAATTCCTTATTGTTTTGGGGCCTAGTCTACAGTACCCGCCGGCCTCATGGTCGACAACTAGAAATGACTATTATTTTTCCTTTTCTTTATTTTTTACTGTTTCTCCAGGATTCAACCTTTTGGCAAAACATTTCGATTCTCAGAATTTTTAAATTGAAGACCAAAGTTATGCAATTGTTAGTGTGCCCTATAGGCGAAGATACTTTTATCGTAGAAAACGATGTTGCAGCCATTATAACGCATCTATGCTTTTTGCCTCGCAAAACAAAGGTCTCGGGCACTCTCGAAAGTCCAATGACATGATATCCAGCCGTTTATAAGTGGACTGAGAGGAGGCGGGTAAAAAGGAATCTTGACTTCCCCAGGCACTCAGCCTGTTTCTTCTCCCTTGGGTCTGGCCTTGGGAAAACAACTGTGGGACTATTTGCCAGCGGCAAGGACGGCCGTTGCCACACAGTTGTAATTCGCCATGATAGAAGGAAAGCGACTTCTGAAATGTCAACATCTACTTAATAGCAGCGTAAGTGCATTTCCCAGGTGATAAATATATAAATAAATGGAAACGCAGGCATCACAAAAAATATAATTTGAAAGCAAATACCTCCTTAAGGGAAAGGAAAAACTTTATTGAATAAATTTGCGACGTCGGTTTTCCGTGTCGTCGTCAAACTCGAGTATATATATAGCAGCAAGGAGAGACGACAGAAGCGTATTCTACCGTCAGCTAGAAACGCCGCATAACGCTATTAACTCAACACTACCGGGAATTATTTTCACGCACAAAAGAGAAGTTCACAAAAAACTCCCATTTATTTATGCCCTCGTACAGAAAAAAACTGACGGGACATTCCAGACACTAGTATACCGCAAAGAAACTTACGCGGAAGTTATCCTACATTACGAGAGCAACCACCCTATGGCTCACAAACGGAGTGCTGTTAACACCCTACATAATCGAGTAAAGACACTGCTCTTAGAACGAAAGGTACAAAATAGAACTCAGTTATTTGTTCAACCTATTTTTTACAAACGGCTACCCTAGAGATTTTGCACGCGGATGCATGAAACAGCAAGAATCAAAAGAAAGAGAGAAGGAAATAGATTGTTCCGATCAGACTCCAAAACAAAAACATTGAAGAATGCTTCCCTAAATTAAAAATGTGTCTCAACTCGTTGAAAGACACCTTAGGAAGCAGCAAATACAAGTGGCTCACAAACCGACTACCACTCTACGAATCAGCTTGTACACCTTAGGGGTAGGGTTGGCTATTTGGATAAAACCGAAGTAGTCTATAAGATTCCATGTGGCACTTGTAATGCAGTGCATTGTGGCCAATCCGAAAAATCCGCCTTTACACGCCTACATGAGCACCAATTGGCGGTGAAGAGGTGGGATCACTTATTCCAATTCGCCATACATACTCTTGAAACTGGACACAAATTCGCTTGGGATAAAACACGCATTGTCGGTTCCTGCCCACAAAAGAAAAGCCGAGAATTCCTAGAGGCCATTCACTCTGATGATTCATGCATCAATTAACGCCCCAATCTTGACTTATGTACCCAAATCTCAAGGAACATGGAAAAGGTAATAGCCAATCAAGACGTGACATTATCCAACAGCATTTACCTATCCTCAGCCATGACAGAGCAACATCGATATTTTTGAGTAGGTTTAAATTTTGACTGTTTCTTTACACTTACTGCAGGTCTGACGAAGAGCTGGGTGATCAGACTCGAAAATTTACGAAATAAAGTTTGTTTATTTTCTCGAAGGACTCGTATTTCTTCGAAATACATATAAAAGAAAGTATTTCGCTAACAAAAGCATCTCTGTTTATTTTCTCTCGGTCGAGATATCGAGAACATATTTAAATTTCTGTTAGACTTAAGTGGCTCCTCGACTAACGCTGGCTGAAGGCGTGATTTCCTTGTAACGCGATGCTATTAAGCCAAAACTATGCCAGAGGCCAGATGAATACAAAGTAAGACGAGCGAATATAAAAAGTCTAGTGATCACTATAAATATTCAAAAGACAAGTAGGCGAGCATAAGCCTGTTTTTGACAAATTCTTACTAGGCCAAAATATTCTAACGGGGACGGGATGCAGATAAACACGCGAGAGATGCTATAAACTAATTAAAGTCCGTTTTTCATACAAATGGGTTGTGGGAATAGAGAAGGAATATAATGCTAGGTGGTGAAACTTAGGTTGGGCCGTGTCAGTGAGCAAGGAGGAAGAGGGCGCGGGGGAGTGCATGCAGTTCACCACCTGTGAGTATGGTAACGTCGTAGCTTGCGCAAAGTTCTTCGATAAGTACAAGACCGGTTTGCCTGTCCTGATGACCGTCGCTTCTGCTGATGGTAGCAGACGCTGTCCTAGAAACGTGGAGTAGTGCGGTAGGACCTTGTAAATCACATGCAAGGCTTTGATAGGGTCTAGACGACGGCCAAATCAACAAAGTATACGGGAATGGATCTTTTCTCCTTTCATTTACACCGAGGGCGTTCGCGTATTTTTTGAATAGTCCGCGATTCGCGCGACCCATATACCCTGCCCCAGGGAGGCAAGTGAAAAACTAAACGCACATAGTGGTGGTCTGACCTGGCAACCTATCCACAGACCTGCTCATCAAATGCAAATTAAAAAATCTAAAGGCACAGGAACACCTCTATGGATGTACTAGGAGTCCATATGATTGTAGATAATGCTTTCCTAATGACTTGTAGACGTTTTACCCAGCCTCTGGTGCTAAACTTTCCTTGAACCTTCATTATAACCCGTAATTGGTTTGTGGATGTTGCAGTACTGAATATAAGAGACCGAAGTAAAGTTTCCTTTTTAAAAATGACGACACAGAAAACTGATCAAAAACAGCCTCATACTTCCCTAAAGTTTAAAGGTTATTCCAAACTCGGTGATTTACTTGAAAATTTGTTTCCCAAAACTGTATTTACATACTCGCAAAAATACTGGTACTGCAAGTGTAGAGGAGATGCGTGGTTAGGTTCATGAGCTAAGGGCTACAATGAACCCCTCAGGTTTTTCTTTATTCGAGCTTTTGAACGATGCAGCAGGAACAATGAAATTATGTTCGGTTGATAGCCCGAAATGTGCACTCATTAACTGATCCGTCGCACCTGAGTGTAGTTGAACGTTATTCTCAACCCTTAGCAAACCCTTAAGTAAAACATTCCGAACTTTCATGGGATTTTTAAAACGTCCTTGCTAAACTTGACGCCCTGGACTTTGGTTGTCTAAAGCAATATCTTCAAGCTCAAAGGCACCAAAGTTGTGTTGCTAGAGTACACTGCAGGTACATAGTGTGCTTGTGCATTGTATATATGTTACTGGTTACAATTTCGTGCCCAGTCGCGCCGAGTTTCTCACAGCCTCTAGCGGGTAAAATAAATGATCACAGTTGTGTAGATAAGTTCTGAATATGCTTTCTGGTATTTTAACATGTAGAACTAAAAAGGCAGTTTGCAAAATATTTATATTTGGTCAACACAACTAGATACGGAATGATTTGTAATTTCAAAAACTGCTTATTTCGATGAAATTCAACTTGAAAAAAATTCACTCAATGAGAATGCAAAGCTGTGATGCAGACTTCACGGTCAAGCGGATAACAGCGCTAATCATGAAAAGTGATATCACTGACTGCTTTCCCCTTAATCGTTGCCATCATTACTGACCTCATGCGATGCCCTTCTCCAGTGTCATAAACCGTAACAGAGCTCATATTTCTGACTGTAGGAAAATAAGCGGAAAAACGGGCAGTTAAGATATCCCTTTAAACGTTCTGATTTATCTACTTTTGACCAAGCAAGGTGGGAACATGTGGCTGAACCAAGAAAGGGAGACTGCGTATTTTCTGGGGGGCCAAACTTCTAGAATCTCTCTGAATGCTTGAAAATAAAAGGGTTGGGCGCCGGCATAAGTACCCCTTCCTGTACTGCAGATGCCCCCATGCGGGGCACCTATTCCCTTGTCCTAACTCTAGCCCTCCTGCCCAAACGTTAATCCCCTAACTCTGACTCCCTGGAATCTAGCGCAAGGCCATCTGCAATACGGAGCACATATGACCGTGCCCAAGGTCGCAAACACCTATTTAGGAGCAGAGAAAATGTGACTGGTCTGTCTGATGTTAAACAAGGAAAGTCTAATAAATGCATTCAAAAGCAGCCTTTTCAGATGAGGCTACTAGCGGAGATTCAATTCAAGATTGAAACGAAAAGCATTTTCACCATTGTCCGACTTAATTACAGGAGGGCCGGCCCAACTTGAAAACAGTCAGAATCAAAAGAGGAGCCCAGCCGGTGCCGGCAAAAGTTCACAAAATAGTACTGGACTGCACATAATATGAAACACAACTCCGCCATTTTTTACAATGGACGTCGTCCGTTTGCTGAAACCTCCATTCTACCTTATACCGAGAGTGAAGTTTGAAATGGCCTACGCTGATCTATACAATTTCGAAGTTTTTTGTTCAAACCAATTTGGCCACTTCAAGGGCGTAAAAGCCAACTACTTATGATCTAAGGATAGATAAGGAAAAAGGTGTATGTGTGAGTTCTATGTTCTTGTTACAAAGAGGAAGATTACAGCATCACCGGGATCGTTATTTAATTAGTCTGTAAAGTCTAACCCTTACAGGAGCCTGTTGTGACCAAACGAGCGCTACTCTCGTCAGGCCAAATCCTACCGCTGGTAGGAGAGAGACAAAAGATACCAGATTGAGGGGTTTATTGTGCACAGAACCCGGAGTTGTCCTCTCAGGCGGCAGTGGCCGCTGGCGAAGCCAGAGCTGGTGTTGACTGCGTCCAGTCAGGCCTGAGAGTCCCTGAGATAGTGGGGGCAGCCACTTTTGTAGGCTCGTGGGCCAAGCTCAATTGGTACCCAGTCAGTGTGTTGCATTTGCCAAGGGGTGGTGTCCCAGTGGCTACTTTTGCTGGTTGCAGGGGATGGTGCGTTCAAGTGGCGCATGGGTAGCCACGACGCTGTGTGGACGCACTTATGCCCGAGCTGTCGGTCGTGTAACTTCAGGTCAGCGCGTCTGGAAAGCCCGCTGCAAGGGATGAATGATCTTGAGGCAGCGAGGTCTTGAACAATGACGCCAGACCGGTCATTATGGCTGCTCTGTACAAGCGTTATTTAGAGATGATGAGACAAAAAACTTTATAACTGCGCCGTTCGCTATTGATTCCCTATTGTGTGTTGATTGCCTACGTACTTGGCTAGAAACGGGGTCACAGTATTTGGCAGTTCATAGTGCAATATGCAGTCATAAACTTCATA